GGCTTATGGACTGTGGTCCATTATTTGCTGACTTTAAAAAATTGTTGAAAATTTAATTTTCAACCAATTTTAAAATTGTCTACACTCTACAGCTTTGCATGCACAAAGATGTTTTCTACATTTCCTTTCTTAAACATGCAAAATCTGAACATTTGACAGAATTACAACCAAACATGTGAAAAAATTTCTGAAAATTGTACAAAAATCACCAAAAATGTTTTTACTTTTTTGAATTTTAGCTGTTTCAATTTGTAAAACTTTTCAACAAAAAGAAGGATGCTTGTAAAACATCACTGTGCATGACACTCTGTAAATAATTTTCAAGTTTCATCAAAAGCAAATAAATTAGAATGGGCTAGACTAAAAAGTCTGAATTCTTGTTTCAGTTTTTCTTCGCAATTTTTCATCTTTTAAAATTTGCCAAAAATGTAATTATGCACTGAAATGCAAATTTTCAACTACATTGAAAGCATCATGAAGTTCTCTGCACTTCCCATTTTTTGAACCATAAGATAATCCAAGTAGACAAAGGTGAAAATGAGAATGTAAAACCTTTTCTAAATGAATTCTTCCAAAACAACATGTTTTCAGATCTGAAAATTTATAAAAAATTTCCTTCTTTACCAAACTTTGAATATTTAAAGTAATTAGAGGTGCAGAGATTTCTTCTGAATTTTGTGCTTTTTGTTGAAAAATCTAGTAAATTAAAAATGTATAAGCAAAAAACTAGAACTTTGTAAATTTTGTTATTGTTGGTCTGATAATTGTGCTTCTTTTAACAATGTGCTCTTTTATAACTGGGCTTATTTTAATAACTGTGCGCATTATGCACTGTCAATACATGAAAGAATGAACCATGCTGATTAGTCTCTTGATTACAAAATCTGAAAAAATTCTTGTTTCTTGCTCAATTCTGCAATTAGCTATATATTTTTAAGAATGACAAATTTTAAAACTGCTCTGCACATCTAACCCCATTACATATTTAAACTAGGGGAAATTTTCTCTTTCACCAACCTTTGAATTTTCAAAGGGATTCCAGTTGCAGAGAATTTTCTGAATTTTCATGTTTTGTGTTGAAAAATCTATGAAATTAGAGAATTTGCCATCAAAAATTAGAACTTTTTTGATTTTGTAATAGTATGACTAATAAATGCTTAATTGTTTAATGTATTGAGAGTGCATAAAGTGCAGGGGTTGTGCAGTTTCAGAATGTCATATTCCAGTTGCAGAGAATTTTTTGAATTTTCATGTTTTGTGTTAAAAATCTATCAAATTAGAGAATTTGCCACCAAAAATTATAACTTTTTTGATTTTGTAATAGAATGACTAATAAATGCTTAATTGTTTAATGTATTGAGAGTGCATAAATTGCAGGGGTTGTGCAGTTTCAGAATGTCAGTGTTTCTGAATTTTCATCCCACAGGATGAATTCTCCCTTTTTTTTATAAAAAAGGTATTTTCTTAAGTGTTCCCATTTTTTCTTCCTCTATGAAACAGGGGAAATTCTCCCCATTTTTTTTTTCAAAAAGGGGGTTCTCCACACAGGGTTGAAGCTCTCAAGAAGACTGACTAGTAAAGAGGTAAAGACTGACTGGATGAAGAGGTTTTTTTTTTTTTTACTTTCTCCTGGATTCCTTGGGACACAGCAGTGGTTCAATTTTTGAGGCATATGATTGGCCTATTAACGTGCAGTCAAAAACATCACAGCCTGAACAGGAAGCATCAGAATTGGGGAGGGGGCAGGGAACTCAGGGATTTGAAGTTTTTGATGCTTCCTGTGTCTTGCTGTTTACTTTTGTCAATCTTGAAGTTTTGAAAGTAAATAATTTTGCTGGCATGATGAGGCGCCCCATCAATGAGTCAATCAATGATGAGGTTCCTGGCGCCTCATCATGCTCGCACACCCCCTCCTTACTGCCTGGGTCAGGTCTGATTTTTGCGCCAACTCTGGCACTGATTTTTGCGCCCCCCCTAGCCAGGCGCCCGTGTGCAGTGAACCCGCTGCACCCGCCTTAGGCCGGCCCTGCCTTTGAACATTCATATTACTAATAAATTTAAGGTGTATCGTCTGATTTCTTCAGTCTATTTGTTTTCTTAAAATGAAGGCTAACCTATGCATACCATATGCATATAGTGAAATGAAAAATGAATTTTTGCGCAAAAAAGTCGCGATTAGAATGAGTTCAAATGGAAATGAAGAATTATCTCATCATATTGCCGGAAAACTATAGTAAAAAATTACAGTATACGTATCACACAATCACATTAAAATGGATTTTAAATTGGATTCCGTCTGACCTGCTCAAGCACATACAAATGTTGTGTAATCGCTGAAATAAGTTAACACTCAATTTTCTTCTCAACATGATTCTCATTTCGTCTCCTCCTTTTCTTAAAGCCAGTGAAAATGATAATTGAATCAAGCCTGAATTAAAATATTTCTACGGACTTTTCTCACTACTTTCTTTTAGTGGCTGAAAACTCGTGCTCGTACGTGGTTAAATCTTTTGTATAATAACTCAGTGTTTCCTTCGTTTCACAATAACTGAGAACAAAAGATGTATTCACAGATGAACAACGTGCACAGCAGTGGCTTCGATGGGTACTTTCTTATATCGAAATTCGGTCGTGATTGTTACAACTCGACCAGAAGAACCCATATCGAAATCAAAATCTTGCGCAATTTACAAGGGATTCCTTTTTGGAATTTCGCCATGGCGAGTCACCTGGCTGAATATACAGTAATTGTTTTTGAAGAATTTCTGTCCTGGAATGGAAACTCCTCATGATTGATAGTCTATGTATGACATATTCTATGGTATTATGGCTATTCTGTCTGCCGGGGAATTAGGAAATACTTCAATAACCCGATAAGTCAATCCTGCGAATTTTATCCTCGATCATTTGTGCGGACTAGTGAAAGAAATTTAGTTCTGCTTATATTCGTAGTACAGTATGTATATTACTCGTGAGTATGCATGTTCTATGCTGGAGACGCAAATAAGTTATGGGTTTACTTTTTTGAAAAAGCTTGCGCCAAAGTATCTCTTTATCAAAGTCACCTTAACATGGAAAGACACGAATGTGTGCCACATAAAAAAAAACTTATCTGCATATCACTTGTAGTTGTAGGTTACTATCAAGAGGCACCAATGACCGTAATATTGTTCTAATCTCGAGATGTACGGTATAATTAAGACTTCATACTGCAGCATATTTTTTATTTAATTCCTTAGTGATCCTAGAAAATGTAATAAAACTGCTGTTGAAATCTCAGTGATTTAATAAGTATTATTCTGTCAAGTTCAACACCACGAAGTTTGGTAGGTCATATTATGCATGTACTGTAATAAGGGTACCTACTGGAAAAAAATGGGATGAATGGAAAATATGTACTGTATACAGTACAGTATATGAATTTGTCAAAATGCGTGTTATGAAATTGTGAATCAAGAGGATGCACCACATATATTAAACTTGTTGGGGAAACAGTAGAAGTGATCTTGTGAATGATAAATGTGTTTATCATTCACAATTTTTCAATTTTTTTGTGGCAGGAATTTATTGAAATGAAGGATAAATTATTCTCTTAGAAAAAAAACTAGATCGTTTAAAATATTTCTCCTTTGAAACAAACGGCCAAACAGTATACGTTAATATGCAGGAAAAACATAAATGGAAAAAATAAGTACTGATGGTGCCTGTAATGGACGCAATTTTGAGTAAAAAAACATTTTACCACAGGCAATGAAAACCGGAGCTGTACAATACAGAATGTATATAGAATCAAATATTGTAAAGACAAAAACCACAACTCACCAAGTGCATGTTCGCATACTTTATTTGATCATTTTGTAAATATCCTCATGACAGAAATGAAAGTGTGTGTCACAATAAGTTGAAATTCTTAAATTGCCTGAAATATAGACTGGAGGCGAATATGATGGTAAGTGTTCCTATTGTTCGTGTCCCTTTTCTTATATCGTCCTTCATTTATCCGCACAAAAACGCGCCTTCTTATTTGAACTGTAAAAATCCTCTCTTTTATTGATCTTTCTGGAAAGTTATTCCAAGAAAAAAGCTCTTGGGATAGATTTTGGATGAATAACGGGATGTCTTAATCAAGTTCGTGTAGTTTTGCACGAATTAAAACCGCACAACAAACTTCACATTCAGGTTTAAAATAAGTAATTTCTTTTTTAAAATACAGTATAGGAAAATAAAAGAAATGACTTATTTATCCTGGTTTCAGTTTGCGTATTCTTTCATGATACAGTATTCTTAAAAAAAAGTATTTTTTCTCATCGAGGGCGCACCAGCATAGATGATTGATTCTTCGTTCGGTGGATCCTCCATGAGAATTCATTCTTTGTGTTTTAGAGTACATAGACTTGAAGGAAGTGAAGATTTTGACGTTATTGTAGAGTTGGAGACTACAGTGTTACAGTATGAGTGAGGCAAGCGCAGCCGTGGTGTGTCATACTGCTCATACAGCAACACCATACCGAGGCTCAGTAGCACGGTACACTGCTAATAGGAAGAGCTCCATGACATTGAGAAACTTTCACTCGGTCTAGCTGTCAAGGATGCCTCCCGGGCTGTCGTGCCGGTGTGGGTGCGCGATTCGCACGGGGTGAGCGACGGAAGTACACTTTTAGCCTCAGTGGAAATTTGAGGGGCATAGTTCTGTGCTGCCCCTATTGAGTTCCCAGAATATAACTTCCAGAGACATACGATCGTTTTCAACTTTTGTGCTTTCGTTTTACGGACATTCATCGCGCGGCTGTCGGGAATGAAAATGTATAATGTTTAAAGGATATTTTTAAGAGTTCCAACCAGCTGGCGTTTAGCTCAGTTGCTTCATGTGTCCGTCTAGAAAAATCCGGTGTTACAGTTGTGTTGATTTTTGACTGGCTATTATCTGGACAGTGACTGTTCGTAGATCAATCGTTGAAGCAGAAGTACTTTTACGTTGAGCAGTTTTGGTGTGAAGAAAAATGTCTGGAAATCCAGGGCTGATTCCGGGCCCTGGAGGTCCTAGCCTATTATGTGGACTCCCTGTAGACCCACAAACAGCTACGAACGTCATTCAGCAATGTTTGGTTACGTTGAGTGGAAATCCTACGGAGAAGGTTGCTGCCGAAGCTGCTCTAAAGTTGAGTGAGCACTTCGAAGTGAGTATTAAGCGGTTTATTCAACACGAGCGATGATACAAACGTTGAAATAGAGTTTTTCCGACATTCTGTTCAGTCCACAGCAGCTGGGAGGAGGACCTCCCAACCCAAAACTTCTGAACCTTTTGATGCGCGCCAGTTTGAAGATTCTGGTTGAAACAGAACCCCAGATTTTTGCTGAGTCTGAAATACAGGTGTGTGATGATTTGGATTAAACTTACAAATTTCTATTCACGGGAAAAATATTTCGTTTCGTGCAGAAAACAAGAAAAATCATGTTGGAAATGCTCCAGAAACTACCTCTCACCGATAACCTTCGCCCGTACTCCAAAAACGTTCTTGGCGTGTTGTTGAGACTGTTGAACACCGACAATGAGGAGAACGGGGTCTTGGCATTGAAGATCGCGTTTGAAATGACAAGGCAATACCGTCTACCGCAAAGTCCAGAATCCATGCCTTTGTCGAATATTCTTCGTTCGATGTATCAAACCGCAACGTCTTGCATCCCGGACATGTACTTCGCAAAACCGACTCTCACGGTTTCAGCCATCGGGGAAGTGTCTGTGGATAACATTTACGTCGCCACAACAGTGACTGTGAAATCTAGCAGTGAAGGGGGAAAGCCAGTTATCCTTACTTGTCTTCCTAAATGCAGCCAAAGTTTGAAGGTTTTGTCGGAGATTCCCTTGTTTTTAATACTAATTTACCAGATGCACCGAAACCTCATAACTCAAGAAGGAAATTTTATCATTCCTGAAGTCATCAAAGCGGTTGTGACGTTTCCGACGAAGCAACAAAGGTAATGATATATTGTACAGTATGAATATTCGGACAGTAGCTATTATTTTCAAGTAATCCATGTAAATTGAATCGGAACGTGTTTTTCCTACGCAGCTTGCAAGGTTGAAGATGAGATTTCATCATTTGGTAAATGATTGGAAGTTCTTAGATTTTAATGTTTTAAATTTTTTTGATTGTTTCTACTTCGAATAAGATCAGCCTGTCAGTGATTTTTTATTGTAATTAAATTGTGTAGGTTGATGTTTTCAGACGATTCCCATCTGTAAAAATTCTTTTGAATGAGTTTTTCAAAATCTTTATTCCAAATCAGGGAAAGACCGGACTTCAATCATGACTTGTGGACGGAGATTATCCATGCGCAAGTGAAAAGTCTGACTTTCTTGTGCTATATCGGAAGGATGTATTCAAATTTGATCATGAAGCATTCAGATGAAATTGTTGAAGCGTTGATGACGCTGCTTGAAGTTTGCCCTCGACATCTCACAAGTCTTCGCAAGGAGTTGATCGTCAACATGAAGCACTTAGTCACCACGGATGTTCGCTACAGTGAGTTCCCCCTTTTTCAATCGTTACACTGAATATACGTAACTTGATTTGCCGTTTTCATTGCAGAATTTGTGGCAGTGCTTCACAGACTATTTTCTGATTTCGCCATCTCCGGGGATGGCTGGACTTCTCGGGAAGCAATGAGACCATTAGCATATTCCACGCTTGCTGATCTAGTTCATCATGTGCGAACGAAGTTGAGCACAGACCTGATCACAAAAGCAGTGCAGCTTTTTTGTCGTAATTTGCATGACGACACGCTCGCCACAGGGGTTCAGATGATGTCTGCTAAATTGTTGCTGAACTTGATCGACCCGATCAGGATGAAGGCGGAATCGGAGCCCATTCCTTGTCGGAAGCTGTTGCTGTTTATCATGCACGCAAGCGTTGTCAAATGCAGAACCCTATCGGAAGTGCATTTGCCGATTTTGCTTGCCAGAGAGTACGTGTCTTTCTGATTTTTATGCACTATATTTTCATGCATGTAAGTGTAGATTTATAGGGGGTAAATCTTATAGTGGGTAAATCATTACCCTTTATAAGCGAATATTATATAAGTTATTTTCCAGAGTTTCTATGTTTGAATTTGCTGAAGCCGATTTTCATTGAACGTGCCGGAAAAAATCAAGATTCGGTTTTTCATTTATTTCATCAGGAAGTCAGACGAGCTCAAAAGCGGTTTGTCTAATGCTGCGCACGAGTATCAAACACTCGCACTCGGTACGAACAATACGCCGAATGGACTCACTGTTGGGGATACTAGAGGTCTCATTAGAACACTCATTGCAACTAATAAAAGTGCTACTTGGGGACTGTGTGGATTTCCAGTAAGTCCCGAAGAAGTATTCAACTGAAATTGGTGAGAGGTTTGTTACAAAACTTTATTCTCTCTCTTTCAGATGCCCGCAGATGGAACTGTGGTTTTAAACAAGCAGTTCTCAACGAAAGAAACGCTGGTCCTCATAAAGGCAGTGAAATGGGGACTAATGGCGTTGGATGTGTTTTTATTATCTGGCCCGAATGCAGTTGGGTCTGCACGAGGGCAAGGTGGGCAGCAGCAAGTCGGAAGTTCTCCTGTTGTTCGCACCAAGGATGAGAAAGAAATTTTGGAATATTTCACGAACATGGTATGTCATAGTGTGATTCCTAAACGATAATTCTGAGTGAAAGAAATATCATGAACAGAAACCTTGCCCATCATGTCAGAAAATTCAAATGAATGTACAGTATTTCCAAACTTCCGGCTAAGTTTGTCGCCAAAAATACTGCAACAAGACAATGGACAACTTTGTTTCAATTCTAGGCGTCGTGATTTGAACTTGTGTAATGTATAATAGGCATGAGCTAATAATGGACATTTTTCGATCACTTCATTCAAAAGCGTAAACCGGATTAATTTTTGTCTCGATTTGCATTTTTTGAACGAATCGTTGATGGATCGCAACATTCAAATGACGGGGGTCGATTGTTAACTGATGAAATTTGTGCTAGCTTTGTGAAGTTCATTGAATGTACAGTACTTCACTTATTTTTCCCTTCCAGTTCACTGTGATGAATGCGAGTACTTACAAAGAAGTTATGGAAGCTACTATTGAAGACATGGTGGAGCGATTCGGTGCGAATCCGGGCTTGCAGATGGTTGGGCATACTTTTCTACTTACCCAGCATACGTCCCCTGTTTTTGCGTCAGTTTTGCTGAACTTTTTGATTGAACGTATGAACCGCTTGGGCTGTGAAGCCTCGAGCAAAAACGACGAAAAGCTCACCGGATCTGGACGACGACAGGATCCAGTGGAACGAGCCACGTTGTACCTTCGGTTGTTCAAATTGGTGTTTGGTTCGGCATCTTTTCATCCTGCTGTGATAGAGCAGATGTTGCAGCCGCATCTGCATAGAATTGTGAAAAAGTGAGGAGTTGATTCGCCTCGGTACTTCAAGGATGTGATGATGCGAAACTGTATATTTTTGGTCTCAGTACATTGGAGCTTGCTCTGACTGCGAAAGAACCCTACAACTTTTTCCTTCTGCTGAGAGCCCTGTTCCGTTCGATCGGCGCTGGATCGCACGATCTATTGAATCAGGAGTTTCTTCCCTTGTTACCGTCGCTTTTGCAAGGTAAGTCGAAAGTGTTCACTGTGAAGTTCCTCTCAAAAGGAATTAGTCAATTTTCAGTTCTTCGCGTATTTATTGCGAAAATAGGGTACTTCAGCGAACTGAATACGATGCGCAATGTTAAAATAGTTTTTGGATTTTTTTTAGTTATTGCGCCGAGATAAAATTTTATTTGTGAATCAGATTAAAGGTAACCACGTACAATACTTCGCGACCAGTTGCTCAATATTATTTTTTTTTAATTCTCCTTCAGGTTTGAATGGGTTGCAAAGTGGCTGCCACAAGCTCTACATGCACGATCTGTTCGTTGAGCTGTGTTTGAGTGTTCCAGTACGGCTTTCATCACTGTTGCCGTACTTGCCCATGCTTATGGATCCGCTTGTTTCCGCGTTGAATTCCTCTCAACCTTTGGTCGAACAAGTAAGTACCGTATTTTCCAGTCCTTCGTGAATATTTTATGATATAAAATTAATTTTGGGATTATTTCCTTGAAGGGACTGCGGACTTTGGAGCTGTGTGTTGACAATCTACAGCCGGATTTTTTGTATGAACACATTCAGCCTGTGAGAGCACAGCTGATGCAGTCTTTATGGAAAACGTTGCAAAGTACTCAAAATGGAACTGCGAAATCCGCATTTCGGGTTCTAGGAAAATTTGGCGGTGGAAATCGAAAAATCCTTGTCGAGCCGCAACGAGTGGAACACTGTGAAAAGGATCCATTCTCCGGGCCGTTCATCGATATCGAATATCCCGGCTATCAGCGAAAAGTTTCTTTACCAGTGGAACGGGTTAGTCAATTTACTTAACGATTTATGTGTTTTTGTGTTGAAAGTTATTTTTTTCAGGCTCTGGAGACCGCTTACAACGTTCTAAGATCTGCCTCGGTGGACGAGCACTGCAAAACTCAAAGTTGGGAGCTTGCGAGAGGCTTTCTTCTTGGGTCTTTCGATGCAACTGAGGGCCTCATCGCTGTGAACATTATTCTCAGTCGTGGTTCGATTACAGAGTGAGTATCTTTTATCGGAGTGGATACTCGAGAAGAACTTTGAATTTAGCATGGGTACCGAAGACAGATGAGCGTGTCTAAAACGGCGCATCCCGAAAGAGCGCGTGCCAGAACAGCGGTGTCTTTAAAATTGAGTGGTAATTGAAAATAATTCAATGCACAAGTCTCTGAACGTATAAAATATTGAAGGTGATGAGGCGCTGAATTATTCGTCAATGATTTGATCACCTCAAATTATAAAAATTGCTATGACCAACTGATCTTGACGAATCTGTGAAATTGTCCGATATATGTTTTCAAACTTTTTCGGAAATACTTCTGCATACGTGCGTTTTTTTTCCTACGTTGTTCTGGGATACGCCCAACTGTCCAGTCACGATCAAAATACGTTTAATTTCTTTTTATTTCAAGTAATTCATTTGTAAGACTTTCTTGAAGTTGTCGTACGGAGGTGGCATGACAATTTTATTTTACTGCCAGGCTTTTTAGGAATTTGCCGATTCCGGAAACCAGGCCGTGTCGCTCATTTTCCATGTTAACTCCGCGGCCTCGAGGTGAAGGAGGTGATTCAAGATGGCCCGGTTCGATGGCAATCCCCTCTACGTATCGCGCACACCATTTAGCCATTGCGTGTTGCTTGGCTGCTGCTGCGAATAAGAAGATCGCACCCTCTGCTCTGCCGGTTTTGAAAGGAATTGGAGTACATTTGACATTGGTTACGATTACAAATCACCTTAGAGGCACGAGTGAAATCATGCCGGATGGAACTGACCCCATGGTTCTATTCGACGTAATCTCAGAAGTCATGGCTGCGGATGACGAGGAGTTGCGGAGGCCCGCCAGATTCGTGTTGGATTTGGTGTTCAACACTTCGACCATGCTCTTGGGATCTCCTTTAAGGGTAAGCTCTCCGAATTTTGATTCAACCATGTTCAATTTATTTTATAGTATATTGTGCAGTATGTACAAAATGATGCTATGTAGCGATTTTTTTTTCTGTACTAAGAAGAGGTTATCATTTTAGTTTTCATGCCATAAATTGTCTTGACTTTCGTATGCGTGAAACTCGAGATGAACGAGAATGCTGTAACTTTTTTGGACACTCCTGAGGATTGCTGAATGAAACAGAAATTTATGGTAATTTTTCAGGTTGTCAAGTTACCGTTTGTGGCATATTTTGCGGAAGCTCAGTGCTATTTATGCTACGAGAGAGCGTGGTACGCAAAAGTTGGCGGTTGTTACGGGATAAGGTATTTGTTCCGTAGACTTCCGCTGAGTTGGACTCTACGACACTTGAAACAGTTCTTGGGTGCCTTGACATTCGTGCTGTTCGACCTATCTGGAGAGGTATGTGGATCATTCTATTTTTTTCCTTATCGAGTATTTCATTTCTAGATCAATTGCATTCAAAGTTTCAGTCATGTTTTTGCTATGGCTTTAATTGAAATGATTTTATTGTTCGAGTTAAAGTGACCAGAAACACTAAATGGTGTGACTTGCCCAAATCCATCATCCGAAACTTCGTATTATCCCCAGAATATTTTCTGACTTTAAAATAGAAAATACAGTTTTGTTATAAAGTGCTCTACAAGGTCCTTCGAAAATTTTTTTCCTCAAAGCATTCATCATTGCATTTATAATTAGGCAAGGAACGTCAAACGATCGCTGAGAATACCGTAAATGCACGATATTTTCACGTGAATTTTATCCGACAATACGAAATTTTAATTGCCAGTGCATCGCGGAGATTTATTCGCATTTTAAAGAAGTATTATTTTTTCACACATTTTTCGATAGGTATCTAGTGGTGCCTTGGATATTGGCAAAGAAGTTTTGGATGAGATGTTGACGAAAGCAGCAACACCTCTTCCCGGTGAAATGGAAGACGTTGCTCGCGCACAGGAAAGCACTGTCGATGAAATTTCGCTCTCTGCCCTACGAGTTCTTCGTGAAAAGGCTATTTCGGATGTCTATGCCGAACTCGTGAAGAACTTCATTTCATCCAACGTTATCGTCAGAACGACAGTAAGTAGATTTTGATTATTGCTTGAATGCGTTTTGTTAACAATGTCTCGTTTACGATCCGAACAGGCAATGAAGATGGTGGAAAAGTTGGCAGAAATTCGTGGCGAAGCAGTCAGAAATATAATTGCGCGACATCGGAAATCCCTGGCTGATCAAGTGCCACCAAAAAAAAGTGTACTCCGGCAATTCGATCCAGCAGGCCAAACCGGAATTTTGGAAGCAAATCTGTTCTGTGCCAAACTGACGCCCCCCGTCATTTCTTACGGTGAGAAGTCAATCCTAGAAAACTTCTTTCGTGTGGTTCCTTTTTTGAGGCATCTACGATGTGTGTGCGGCTGTACATTGTTACCATAGATTACGGCGAACATATTTTTTTCTTAGCAGGACCAACCTTATTTTCAGGTAAGGCACGTGTCGCCTAAATCATTAAGCTAAGCTGAGATTCCATATCCTGATTTAAATATTTTAAAAGTTTTATTCTGAAATTTTATTTTTGAATCGCCCACAGATAAGACAGAGCATGCATACTTTTTGGAAGAGCTTTTGGATTTGTGCGAGAAGGATGAAGCGCAGCTGATGAAGTCGCCATGCTATAAGAATGCTGGATCTTTGCTTGCTGTTCGCGTTCCCGCAGTGAAAACACTGGCAGCGCTTTATTACGTAGATGTTGAACTCACGCGTTCAAGGCTCATCCCAACGTTTTACCAGATGCTTACGGCACAGAATACACCGGAAAATCTGCGCGAAGCAGCTCTTGAGGCTCTGGAAACGATTGTATCACACGTGGCACCGAATGAAGCTTGGGTGAGTTCGATTGATGAGTTTCGTCTAGAGTTTGAAGTAGTGGGGGTGATCATGTTTTAATTTTGAAACTTTTTAATGCAGATTTCAGCTGTAACGAAAAAATTGGTATCAGCTGTGCATGATCAAATGCACCTGTCAGTGGCGTGCGTGGAAAACCTGAAATACGCCTGTCGTCTTTTCCCATCGTATGTCCAAGATTGGGTTCCGGATAATTCTCGTCGTCTGGGAGAGCAAATGCTGCAGAACCTTAAAAAGTGGCTGGAAATATCAATTATTGCGCAGAAGGGTGGCGTGTGTAAGTGAAGACGTCATTTGTTGTATTCGACTTTTCAAGTTGACCCGGATTTTAATAATTGAATATTTTTCTGCAGCTGTAAGGTCAGGTGCGGAATGGCAGCTGTGCGTTGCCATATTGGAACTTTACGAATATCTGGTTCATATCAATGAGAAATTCGTGGAACCAGCTTTCAAATTAGTGCAGCAAACTGAGAGGGCTCTTTGCGTCGAAGTGGGGTCGCCTTTCCGGCCCGCCTTGCTCAAAGTCATGCTTAGATTCCCGATGCATACAGTCAGCTTGTTCTTGTGTGACAATTTCCTGAAGGATGACTCCTGTTGTCGCTGGTTCTTCTATATTTTGAAATCACCCAAAGGCCACATCTTCAGAGAAATTCTCGAATCCCCGATGTTCGTTTTAAAGCTGATCTCAATTGCCCAGGGCCAGCATCAGCCCCTGAGTGGACGCAGTCCTGCCCAAGCTAATGTCCAGGTGGAGATTTATTTCATTTATTTGATAATTGATTCTCAGAGTTCGTAATATATTTGATTTTTTTTTAAGAATCCCGGAGACCGTGTACTTCTACAATCGATGGCTGTGAGGATCGTTGCGACGCTCGTGGAAGAGAATGAATTATGGATTGTTCAACAACACGATTTAGTGGCTGCGTTGCAAGAAATTTGGTTGTCTGACGAATTCCATACGAGACAGGCTGATGACATCGGATTAGGAGAAGATCCCGAACACTGGCCCGAAGGACCATTGCTTGCTCGAGTTTTGCTAAAATATTGTAAGTAATTCATGTTTTTTATCAGGTCTCGTGAGATGCGAAAGGCCAAAGAAATGTAACCGTTGATTTCCCAATTTTTTTTTCATAGTTGAACAGTTGTATCTTCAACAGTCCTCAACATGATTAATTCTGTCGCATGCTTCCGCGTGTATTGCTCAATCCTTTCCAAAAATGTGAAATTTGAACGGAGGCTTCAACTCCTGATTTTTATTCGTTTCTGGTTATTTTCGACGGAGGAACTTCGATTTACCAGGTAGACTGTTGAGCATAGGAGTAAAATTTTGATCTAGTGATACTCACGTCTGAATTCGAAGTGCTAGCTCATATCATAGCTTTTCTCCTGCGACGCCACTTGAAGAATACTTCTGAATGATCAAATGCTCTGACGTAACCTGGAAACTGCCGATTAGTTTACGGATGAGTTGAGTAAAATTTCATCAATTTTCGTTTAAAAAAAATAAACGTTGGGCGAGTATCACACCATGTACAGTATCATTTTCTTCGACCTTTTAGACCTCCCCTTTTGGGTATTTTGCGGGCTCTCCAAGTTTCCCGTGTAGCTTTTTTCAAGTTTCGTGGTTCCCCGTTTGCTGGGAAACAATATCACATGATAATCTCCGGGTAATTTGTCCACAGTTGACGGTAATCCTTATGACTCCATCGAGCTTCTTTTTGGCTTGACGAAAGCATTCCTCGTCCGTTCAACTGCCAACTATCATTTCCTCTTGGAGTACTTGGAAGAAAACGTGGCTGGTCAAATGCCTGTGATGTGGGTCCGAGCCGCGTTTTTCAAGTTTGTCGAACTCAACGCGGCAGCTGCGCATTGTGTGGTGGATCTGTCCGACCCTGCTGGCAAGGATTATCCATTCCTGCACTTGCCTGAAGCTCGAGCATCAATCATTTATCGGATTTTGATGCCATGTTTTGCGCATTGCTTTTCTATGGGGCAAACCGATGCGCTCGTTGGACAGCCGCCGTCTCCGGAGTCCACCTCGGAAGATGATATTCTGGCGGTTTATGTCAATAGAGTGTTGCAGCAAGAGAACCCAAGTTTGAAGGTCAAATAATTTCGCACCATATTTTGTAGAGATTATGTAACGATGAAGGACTTGAAACGTACACGTGGTTATTCGTTGACCACTCGCCTCGGTTTAAATTTTCCTCGGTATTCCAGCTGAATTTTCGGAAATTTATATTTCTTTCGGAACTTAAATTTTTAGTTAAAGCAAACCCTGAATTTCGGTTAGAATTCTTTAGCAAAATTGTGCCTGCGTATTTATTCTACGCGTAACTGTAGGGTATTGAAAAAAATTTTATTCATTCTGTTTTGTCACAGGTTAATGATACTGCAGAGGCGAAACTTTCATGCAGTGTATCGTATTCTGCCTTTCGCGAGTGAATGTTTTAAATTGGTTTTAAGACTAGTGGGATTTTATTGAATTCTTATTTTTGTAAGTTGGTGAGGGCGTATTGTGTTTAATATTCAGTCAACCTATGTCAGCTTGGAAGAAGTTTATGGTGACAGAAAAATTTGAAATGGAAATTCCTCTTGCGAATGTTCTGTGTCATTACAATCGCTATTTTTTTTCAGGTGGACTGCTTGAAAATTATGTTCTTGCAGTTCAGCGCATTGCTGGTGGACAGTGCCCCAGATCATATGCATGATCCCCGTTGGAAGAAGCACGGATACCGTCTGCGTCGTCTGATTACGTTTGCGTGGCCTTCTCTAATGGGTCGTGATATGCAGGATCCGACTGTCAAATATTGTGGCCACTTATTCTTGGCCACTGTTGCAAGAAAGAAAGCCGTGAACAAGAAAACGGTGCTTCAGTTATTCCATAGTTTGTTGAAGGCGTCGGCAGGCGATGCAAGGTCGCTGGTGCAGAAATGCTTGCAAATTCTGACTCCAGCGATGCCATATAGGATGGAGGATGATAATGCCATGCTCGCGCATTGGACGAAGAAGATCCTGATGGAGGAATGGAACAACTTGTCTCAGTTGTCACACATTCTGTACTTGATCGTCAAGCAGTATAAAGTGAATAAATTGAATACCCCTAGCGAAGGCTGCAATACATTCTTGCATTTTATGTATTTCAGGTATATGCATTGGTTGAGAAGCCGTTTGTTCCGCATATGGTTCAGTCATTAGCAAGAATTGGGCTTGGGCCAAATGCGAATATGGAAAGCAAGAGGCTGTCAATTGATGTCGCTGATGTCATTCTTCGTTGGCATCTAATGAACAGCCCGAACTGTGGCGAAGAGGGTACACTTCCCTTACCTGAAGTGAGTGAGAAATTGTCATGAAACTCCATTAAAACTCGACTTGAGAGGTTCAACTGTACTGCATTGATACAGTCGGACAAAAACTTCAGGAATTCATTGTCGTACGATTTCCTGGTGCATTTACTATGTAGAGATTTTTTCTGCCCTTTTTTCTATAAATTTCCTGCCTTCCCCTCTATTTTTACTCGAGTATCTGCCAGACGTCAGAGGAACTGAGGCCTAGCCTCGAATATTTTACGTAATACATTAGGCTTCACCCAAATTCTTCAGCCGCGTCACGAAGGAAAAGTAATCCTGTAATCGAGTAAACACGGTACTGTAGTACAGTACAGTATTTCTAATTAGTTTAAGCGCTAATTTTTTGCAGATAAAAAATCTTTTGACAAGGTTTTACATTTATTCCAGGACTTGGGTAATTTGAGTGAAGAAGAATATATGAAAATTGTCGAAGAAGGACTTGGCGTGACGTTGTCCGGCAAAGGAATAGAGAAACAGCATGCAGAAGCAGTGATCAATTTTCTGCTTCGATCGGCTTGTTCGGTAATTGACGTTGCAGCCGGGGAGATCCTTTCAAAAAGATGCCTCAATCTTGCTAAAATCGGGATCGGCTGGTGGCCTGCTGCCGAATTGAAGCTCAATTGGATGGAAAAGATTTTTTCGTCCGTTGCAAATATTGACCAGCAGAGCGCTGGAGGTGCAGGTGCAGGATTCACTAGCAATCCCCAAATGATCGTGTATGCCGTTTGTGTTGGTTTGGATATGTTAACCTATTTGTTCAGTGGACCGATGGAAGGAAGTCCAGATAAGATCTTGCAAATCGTGGGACCATTGCAGAAAAGTCTGGCGGTTTGTTTAGCGTCGTCAAATCAAAGGGTTCGTATTTTGTTTATATCTGGTGCCGTTCTGTTTTCAAATTCAGTATGCAATTTTCTTGTTTTAAGAGCGTAAATTTTAATTTCCTTGGAAGCCAGATTTCATTGGAACTTTTATTCCTTGAAGTTCTTCGCGTCCCAAAGGGGCTGAACGAAAACAAAATAAAATATTGTACTGTGTTCTGAACCTCTGTTTTTGAATTTGAATACGGTTAAAGCAAAAAGGAAAAAATGAAGGATGAAGCATGAATGAATTAATACGAAAAGCTACTTCATATTTCCGGGTATCTCGGAGGAATTGCGTTTTCAGCTCTGTTCCGGCAAGCTTAATACTGTAGTTCGAAACTTAAATTTACTTATTCGCTGAATTTTTTAGTTGAAAATTTCCAACTTCACGGATTTGATCTACCTCTCTCGCAAGCTTTCCTGCATTTTAATTTAATACAGTTTCATCATTTTTATTGTTGCCGAAATGGAAACAACGCCGATTTCATGAAACGAAAATTTTTGTGGGACCCGAGAGAATGGATTGCAAATACTGTAGTGAAAGTAAAATTTAAAAACTATGCATTGTAGGTTGCCAGATCCGTCCACACATTCATGACAAAATTGATGACCGCATTTCCAACTGAACCTTCGACATCCAACGTGGCATCAAAGCACGAAGAACTCGATTCTCTGTATGCTGCTGGTGGCAAGGCAAGTCTGGGATATTTTTATTCGGAAATGCCTCTGTGTGACGTTTAAAACCAGGATTTTTGAAGCGTGGTTTCTCTATCAGAATTCAAGAATTAAACTAAATTCACAGCAAAAAGAAGTTCTCATAGGAAAGGAATCTTCCATGAGCCATTTCAGAAGGTTCCTTGAAATTCTGAGCAGCATTTGCCTGAGCCCCGAAAAGAGATCAGGGTTTTCAAGTCTGTAGCAGTCATCCAAATTACTGCATATGAAATTAAAAGAAATGACCAACGATTGAAATGAACTCACTTTAAAAAATGGCTTTTGATTATAGGTGTCTTAATTTTAGAAAAAAAGGAATGCTTCGCACAAAAACGGCTGATCCCAATTTGAGGCTTGGGGCAAACCATTTATTAATGCTCAGAAGATTTGTTGATGTTTATTTCTGCCCAACAGATTGTTTACGAAGGATTGAGCACTCACGATAAGACGTCGAATGCCCCGCAAGCAACGTCGACTTTGCTGAGTGCTGTGCTGATTTTGAAAGCAGCGTGCTCCGGAAATCCGGCCTACCTCGACCGCTTGATATCCACGTTTATGCGCGTTCTTCAGAGACTGGTTCAGGAGCATTTAGCTGTCCAGGCGCCGAACCCTCAGACAAATTATTCCAATGAGCCTGGTATTGGTGAGTGCATTTTTGTTTAAAATTCTTGATTTCCGATATGACCGCATATGAACAGGGGAAAAATTAAGATACAATACTGTACAGGGTTATCTGGTTACCGTATACTGTATCACATTTTCCACCAAAATTGCTCAGATGTTGGACAACCCATCAATCATTACCCTTGGGATGTTCTGTGCATTTTTCCTGAACCTATTAATCACCTATTCAATTTTGGCTGTTTTTATGCATGTTTTAGCGCTCATTTCGGAAATGATTGTTCATGGCATCGATCTTGTGAAGGCGCGAGTGAATGTGCTGTCTTTCGAGATGAGGAAAGTGTTCTTCAGCGGAGTGTTGAACCTGTTGATCAATAAATCGAAGGACGCAAAGATTTTCAAGGCCCTGATAAGGGTTCGTATGAAATGATATCTTTGTCGTTTGTCATTTTTGACTTTTCTCGATTTTTTCCCCCACTGACAGATGACCGAGGACTGGGTGAAAATGAGAATAAATCTCGAAACAGTTGAGGTCCCTACGGTGCGAGAATTGGCTGTTGTACTCACCCGATTACTATTCGTGATCGAGAGCAAGTTTGCCTCGGATAACGATTTGAAGGGACATTTTTTGGAACTTGTCCTCTTGATCTATGAGTAAGTTCATGTTTCATTTATCTGATAAATATTTAACCTTTATGCTAAGGTGAAAATGGCTGTTTCTAGCGTTCAGAATATTGTATTCATGGACAGTGATTGATTTTGTATTTTAATCCCTTTTAGATCCGATGTGTTTTATGGCACAGAGCTAACGAGCAGACTTGAACCCTGTTTTCTCTGTGGGTTGAGGAGCAACCAGGCAGAGCTTCGGCGTCGGTTTTACCAGGCTTTCGAAAACAGCGTGAAAAAAACTTTGTTAGATCGGTTGATGTTCATCCTTACATCGCAAAACTGGGATGGAATCGGAGACTACTTTTGGATTAAAGTTTGCATCGACCTTCTGCTAACGGCCGCGACACCTGGTTAGGATTTGATTGCAAGCTGGCCCAAGATAGGCTAGTGTTGACTTCAAGATCTTTTATATTTTCAATAGACACAACTGTCCAGCTGCGAAAAGAAAATCAGTTCATGTCTCCTTTGGCGCAGTTTATGAGCAGCGGAGAGGAGTTCAGCGTTTCGTTAGATTTAATTAACGACTTGGACGTATCCGTCTCTCCTGAGGTTTGCAAAATTATTATTTTTTGCTTGCGTACATTTTCTATTCTTTGAATTTATTTCTTTAGGATCTACAAGCAGACATTGAAGACCTTACGCGTGGGTTCGAAGGTGAGTGAACGAATTCAACTGCATTATTGTAATTTTGGAACGATTTTGTCTTCCAGCTATGAAGTGTGCGTTTTGACTTGGTCAGAAATACAGTAGTTTATTCAAATTATGCATTTTAAAAAGGCAAAAAGTATCTTGATGGGCTTCCATTAAGCTCTCAGCTCTTCTCAAGTTAATGCAAGAATTGATACAATGCGTTTGATTAAACAAAAAATTGTTGAAAAGATGAATTCATGTTACCGCATTTGTGGCGATGACGAAATTGTCCCATTAGAAATTTTATTAAATTTCTATTCGGTGTAATATCATTTTATTTTTGCATATTTTCTTTAAATTCCTGAAAAAGGGACGTTTTTATCAATGTAGAGTTCTAAATTGTTGGATACCAAATGTCAGGTGGAAATTTCAAAACTGATTTGGCTTGAAAGCGCGTAATTTTATTTTCGTTCGAAGCCAAGTGACTGAAATCCTTCCGATTTCAGATCAACCATTGGAACCACGGGAGAATTTCCAGAAGCTTCTAGGCGACCAAATCAAGTTCCTTATGCCTGCTGCTTTGTCTGATCTACGAGATTTTCAAACGAATCAAGTCATGTGCAAAGGGTTGTGGCTCAGTGCTTTGTGTGATCTATGTCGATTTGACACCTCGCTTGCTGACCAGATGTGGAAAGCAATGTTTCCTAGCATTTGGGCTGCGTTGGATAATGATCAGAAAGTAAGTTTTCTATTTTTTAATCTCTTTGAATTTGTATTAACTTGAAGAAAAATATCGAATCAAACTTGAATTTAAGATCGGAACGAATCGGAAATTCATTGATCACGTGACTTATTATTCTTATGCGATTAATGCAGCTCATCGTCGGTCGAGAACTGCTTCCATTCGCATCTAGTGGAGCCCACATTGCCCAGAAAAGCTGCCAACCGTCTGCGTTAAACTGCTTCATGTCTGCTGTTCTCCGTTGTGAACCGAGTATTCCCGTACCTGCAGGCGTCATGTATTACTTCGGAAAGTCGCACAACATGTGGCATGATTCAATGTTACTTTTGGAAAATGAAGTATTCGCGGATCGAGAAACCCAGAAATTTTGCCTCAATCAAGTGCGAGGAGACGCTTGTTATGATTTTGATGAAGAGTCGGGGGACTCGGAAGAAGTCGAGGCTATTCCGAATTGCCATCCACTGCAGGTCCGTTATAATTTTATTTTCAGGTTTACCTGTTATGATTTTTAAGGAATAATTCTAAATATTTTATCAGCTAATCATTTTTTGAAGATCGAAAATTGCTCTTCCACTTCACGAAGGTCTACCAATGCTTGGTTGACTAATTTCACTTACAAGTTACAGTATTGGTCAAAACTCAACTAAGTTCCTGAAAAAAAGGAAGCTTTCTCCTCTGTGGACTTTTTTATTCTTGAAAATGAATTATACCGTAACTTTATTTTTTTTTCTGAATTGAGTTTTGGAGTGCGCTTATATTTTTTATTGAGAAGATAATGCAATGTCCTTGGTCTTCGTGAAATTCAGCTCTTAACATCTTCCTGCAGGATTCCTTGACGTCGTTGGCTGCTCTGTACCGTGAAATGGGCGAGGAAGATATGTTCGCAAGTTTGTGGCAGCAACAAAAGGCGCAGTATGCAGAAACCAAAATGGCTTTGGCCTACTCGCAGCACGGTTGCTATGAACTCGCCGAAGGAGCATTAGAATTGGCGATGTGTCGGATGAAGTCCGATTTTGCAACCAGTGCAGCTCCTCCTCCGATGAATGCGGAATTTAAGCTGATCGAAGAAGAATGGTTCCGAGTCTCGAGGGAGATGAATGAGTGGGATATGTTGGTGGAGTTTGCTTCGAACATTGAATGCGAAGTGGATCCATGGATTTCGATGGAAGGCGCTTGGAAAAGCACCCCTTCGCATGTGAACTGGGACTTGGCTAAAGTGGCGATGAAGCGCATTGAAGCTAAAAACAACTCCAAGTTGGAATGGAAGGTGAAATATTTTCGTCAGTTCAATTGGAAGCCTAAATTCGTCGATTTCGTGAATTTTCCACTCGCGTTCATCAAGAGACGTAGTTGCATAATTTCTTGTTGTTGGAACTACGTTTCAGGCAAAAATTTACGAAGCCTATTATCATTTGTTCAATCCGACGGAAAAACAGCCAGCACTCGTGGAGAAACTAGTGCAAGGAGCAACTGAAGCCGCTATCACTGAATGGCGCCGGCTTCCTCCAATAGTTTCTCATTCCCACGTTCTACTTCTACAAGCATCTCAACTGGTGAGTTATTTCAAAGAAAAGGAGGAAAGTTTCTGGCGTGGAACTGTGGAAAGTAATGCGATTCCTGAAGAATATCATCACTTGAAATTGAAAAGGAAAGCCTGAAACGTGGTTGCGGTGTATAGTTGTAGGAATAAAATAAAATGCGAAGCTTTTTAGATTTTTTTTCATGTGATCCTGTTCCCCGGAAGTATGCCCAACTTCAAAAGTAAGCATTTTTAAAATGTTCGGTTTCCCCTTAAATGCTGTACCGTATTTATAAACGTATCTTGAGTCTACGCATTCCAGAAATAAGCTCTTGTCATAGTACATTTTTTCATTTTTGATTGTCCATTTGAATTTTAAATTCAAATTTATGGGATTGAGAAAGCACAGTAGATATTTATAAATGGGCAGCTGAAATAATTCGAAGTACTGTATTCGCTTTTATGTAAATTCTCAGAATTATTGTTCCTTTTAATTTTTGATTCCAAGTTTTTCAGCTTATCCTGTAGGACGTAAACAATTATTATCCCTCGCGCGAATAAGCAGGAAAAATGATGCAGGGTTATCCTTGTTCTATTGTGGAAAATGCGGTTCTTGAGAACCGGTTTGACTTGATTCGTTGAAAAATATTTTGAGGCAGTTCGCGAATCGATTATCAGGGAAATTGAGGTTTGAGCGACGAACTAGTCCAACAAACATGTGATTATGTCTGTATCTTTCAGATCACGGAGCTTCAAGAATCTTTTATGGTATACCAAGTTTTGATGCAAGGTGGTGCACGACAGAACGGCGCGCCGCTATCTACGTCGGCTGCGTTAAATGAAATTAGGGCAATCTTGAAGACTTGGCGAAATCGATTACCTGTCCGATCAGATGCTTTGTCTCATTGGTCTGACCTGATTAGTTTGCGTCTCGTCACTTTCCAGTTTCTGTGCGATGCTTCGTCGCATGCCAGCGCGGGAGGGTCCCCGAACCCCGTTGATAGTGCTGTTGGTGGAAGTGTCGCTCTAGGCACTGGGAATGCTGCTATGGTAATTTTTTTGTTTTTTACGACGAAAATTTCCTGTTATCGCGACATTTCAGTCCTGAATTATGGAATCATTCTGGCTTACGGAATTTTTAAAATTCTTGGTATTTCATAGGCAATGCTCACATTTGCGAAGATGGCGAGGAAGCACAAACAGATTGACTTGTGCGTGGAATGGATTGAGAAAATGTCAAATTTGCCATCCCCTTCAATCAGTGACAGTTACCTCCGCGCAAAACAACTGTACAAGTGCCATTTGAGCTGGGGTGCTTCTGGAAATTATCATGACTTGAAAGAGGTTCGTAGCTTGTCAAGTTGAAAAAAATCCTGAATAATGAGTGTTATGATGATTGATTCGTAATTTTGATGGATTGAAGGGATTGGAGGCACTGATGAACGCAGGCCAGCAGTATTACGATAAAACAATGAAGGCTGATCTGATAGCTGAACGAGGTCGATTTCATCAACTCCTCGGTATGTTCCATAGATGCCGTTTTTTAATCCAAACATTGTTCTTCTTGTGTTGTAGATATATTTCAAGAATACTTGTTTTCGTTTTGTTGCCGTTGATCCTTTATAACAGAGGTTCTCAACCTTTTTTTTTTTCTTCTCCAACTTGCGGATTGCAATCGATTTTTTTTTACCTTACCCTTCGCGCAAATTAATTTTGGAGCCTTAACCAAAGGCTCCAAGCGCGTCTTACTGACAGGATTCACAGCTTTTTTCTGCTGGGTCATAATGAGCTTAGTGCATCCTTCCAATTGATCGTTTTGCTTCATTTCATTCAATTCTTCGGTTTTCTTTCGGATGTTGAAGTGAAGCTTTTCAGTCGAAGCTCAGAGTGCTCGTAAAGCCCTGGTTGGAAACCTCTGGCATACAGAATTTTTCCGATTGTTTTTCGTTCATTTTTTATCTATTTTTTATTTTCACCTTCCAGCGGTCTGTGTTTTGCGTAGTTCAGAAAATATGGTTAATCTCATGAGAGAATTTCGTTGCTTATGCGCTCTTCCTGAAGGATCTTTGGTGATTTGCGTTTATCGCCCTTTTTTATTCTCGAACGGCCCGACTGGAGCGAGTGGTGAATTTTGGATTGGGCCTTTCAGGATAGTGGAGCAAGTGAATTCTGTGGAATATCTTATCGTGAGGGCTGATGGCGTGGGCAAAATAACCTGTGTCCACCGAGAGGGTTTACGCCCGTATCCGGTCAACAGATCTTCAGACAATTCTTGAAATCGACGCTCTCATTTATCCCAGTTGATCGGATCAGAGATTTTTGCATTGCCCTTTCAAGAAGGTTTTATTGAATTATTTTTCGCGGAAAAAATCCGCGAAGGTGTTGTTTTGTTCCCATATTGACTTCCGCGTGATTTTGTGGGATCGATTTTTGCATCGTTTATTTTCTGGGTGATCATGCTCATTTTTACTCACAGGGGAACTAGAGGATGCTGGAAAGCAGATGTCCACTGCAGTACAAATACATGACTCTCCGAAAAATTGGTTCATCTGGGGACAGTTTCACGAAGAAATGTTCTTGAAAGACACGTCCAATATGGAGTTCGGTACCTCGGCGATGGTTTGCTACCTGCATTCCGCTATTCAGATCGCCGACCCAAAGGCCCGTCGACCGTTGTCCAAAGTACTGTGGCTGCTCAGTTATGATAATGAGAGTTTGCAATTGGGAATGAACATGGAAATGTGGGTGAGCGAGATTTCACCGATGGCCTGGTTACCGTGGATCCCGCAATTGCTCACTTGGTTGCGAAGAAAAGACGGGAAGTTCGTCATGTCAACATTAGCCAGAGTAAGCGAAATTATTTCAGTGGGAATGATATTTAAATAATGCGATCAGTGACCTTTAATTCATGGATTTTCTGCGCGTTTTTATTTCATTTTTAGATTGGAAGGGTTTATCCGCAAGCAGTATACTTCCCAGTTCGCACATTTTTCCTCTCCTTGAAGATAGAGTTCAAAAATCGTCGTGAAGCGGAACTTGCTTCAAAATCTCCTGCTCACTCTGAAGGTATGTCATGATCAACTCATGATTCCATTGCTGCTCTTTTTTTTCAAAGCTCCGATCAGAAATAAGATATGAACGATTTCTTTTCAGGGGAAACAAGTGGCGAAGTAGGCCATCAACCAGCCACGCCACAGCCGCAGCAAATTCTGAGCAAAAACACGAATGCGATGTTGCGGTGCTCTCGAATAATGCATTCACAGAAGGAATTACATCCCACAATTCTAGCTGCTTTTGAAGTGCTGGTGGAGCACATTCGAGTAAGTCGAAATCCGCTTACTGTAAGTATTTCCGGGCTTTGAAATCGAGTAAAACCTCTATTATCTGTTTTCAATTACCCGTGAACTTAGTCAATCAAGTCATCGTCTGTTAATTTGGCGATCTTGTGAGAAACGTATTTCTCTTGTAGATTCAACCAAATTCCACGAGTATCATCATTTTTATATCTATTTGTACTCGACAATCGATGTACGTTTCTCTTTTCAGAGCATTCCGGTTATATGACAGTATACAGTATTTGATTTTGAAATTTTTTCTCAGACAACCTCAACGAGGGATGGTTTGGGCGAAGAAGCACTCCGACAGCTTCGGATTGTTCTTACGCGTTGTTACCACCACGCTTTCGACAACAAAATGAATATTCTTGAAGCTGCTCTTCCTCTGGAAGTTCAGGGAAACCTGAAGCGAATTGTACAAAATTTAGCTGCTTCAATCGGTGAGATATCAATCAATGCTTGATATTTTTTTTTTCGTAGCCGTTGAGTCTTCTCGTGCTTTTTCAAACATTTCCGCTTGTCGTAGACTTGTTGATACTGCGACTAAGTCTGCTTTGACGGAAATAATTTTTTGTGTCCAAGTTTTCCTTTTTTAACTTTCGCTCTGCGCAGTATTTATAATTCGATATCCGTTAATGATGACGCACTTCGTGAGTCTTCAGATGTGGCATGTGTTGGAGCGTCGCCGAACAAGGACGACACGATGAAAAGCCCGGTTCGAGCAGCCGTCTCTCATGTTTCTAACATACACTTCAAGAAAACGAAAGACGACCTGCTTGCTGAACCGGAGTTCGCTGATCCTACCAATGCTAAACTCTATCCAACCATTCTCAAGATGAGGAAATGGATCGTGAAATTTGAAGCACTGAACAAATCTTTCACGAAGTGAGTGCTTTTTTGATAATATCAGGGCCTAATGCTGCCTAAGTTTTTGTTCCGTTCTTCGATCATTCAAGAGAGAAAAAAATTCAAAAGTAAAGGTATGGTCCTAAAAAAATATTTCAGGCGGCGTTCTAGCATTTTTATTCTTATCTCAGTTGGGATGCATTTTTCTCCGTGCTTTACCCTTTCTTTTTTCAAAGTTCACTTTTGCTTTTCCTAGTAGCCGAAGAAACCGTACCATGATGAAAATATGAAAGAAACACGACTCAAAAGCGATGAAATTTTCCATGGAGGATGTATTCAATTACTGTAGTTCATAATTTTCAAAATACAGTACTTAATAGTGAAAAATATTCTAGACCACCCTGATTTTTGTACTGCTTTAAACATTTACTACGATATTTTTTCTCAATGTGAGCGAGTATTGGAGAAGTTTATTTTTGTATCCGAACCAGGTCCTTGCTGATCGACGACAGGTGCAAGTTTCTCTGCAACTGTAATCTAAATACGGTTGAGATGGAGTTGCCGGGAGAACAGCTGATTCCGAAACCGTCGAATTACGTCGTGAAAATCGCACGATTTTTGCCGCGAGTCGAAGTCGTGAATAGAAACGGGATTTCTGCTCGTCGACTGTTCATCCGCGGCCACAACGGGCGCGTTTATCCGTATCTTGTCGTCAACGACGCAGGCGGAGAAGGTGCGCCACAAGAAGACCGAATAATGCAGTTGCTGAGATTCTTTAATTATCCAATGAGCAAACACACAGTGAGTGTACATTTTGTCATTACAGTACACGTACTTTCGCTGGAAGTGAGTTTCTTCGGGTCCCCATGTTTCTGAGTGATACTCAAAACCACCGTGGGGTCGATGTCAAAATTTCACGCAAGCTTTTGTTAAATTTCAGCCCTGACCTTCAACTTCTCTCTTACTGATGGCCCTTTTTTGGTATTCCTCGCATTCAACGTATTTCATAAAGACCATGGATCTGAAAGCGTTTTTTTTCAGAACATGGTTATTTCTGGAATTTGCTCAAAGAAGATTTTAAAATATCAGAACTATTTCCCAGCACGCGACCCGACTGCCGTTTTATAAAAAATTGGCAATTGAGCCTTCTCAAAAGTCAAGGACAGTATATCTGACTCTTCTTCCATTCAAACTGAAATTATCACACGTTTTTCCGAAATTGTTCGAAACCTGTTCCTCTTGCGTTACCGCTGAGAATTCTTCAGAATCAGTGCACTATTTTTTAGGCTAATGACTCCACACTTTTCAGGAAACTGCCAAGAGGTTTTTAGCCTTCACGGTCCCGAAAGCTGTTTCGGTTTCGCCAAATTATCGGTTCATTGAAGATAATCCCACATCGGTGTCGCTCTACGACATATATAAGCGATGGTGTGCAGAGGCCAAAGAAGACGAAATGGAACCGGTGGACAAATATTACGATCGTCTCAGATTCTTACAAAGTGAAGGAAGAGACGTGACAAACGAAACGTTCAAGGAACTTCTAATTGACGTTCAGAGGGATCATGTGCCCAAAAACGTATTACGTAAATGGGCTTTGAAGACTTACCCTAATGCCTCGAATTACTGGACATTCCGACAAACGGTGATTACATAATTATAAATTTTTTTTAAACTTCAAGCTAATTCACTGGTGTCATGAATTCTGGATCCCTATTTCAGGTCATAAAAAGTCTTGCTTTGGTGAATATGGTCGAATGGGTCTGTTTCCTGAAGAGTATGGGTCCGGAAAATATCCACTTCTATCGCGATTCTGGAACGTTGGTCTGCAGTAATCCTAAATTTGATATTTCCGAGAGCACTGGTGAGTGAAAATTCTATGAATTATTCAATTTATATATGTCGATGCTGGAAAGATGCTTAATTTATTTATTTTATTTCAGGTGAGCTTTCGAGCACACATCCAGTTCCTTTCCGCCTGACTCCTTCGTTTGTGGATTTCTGCACCGAATTCGGAATCCATGGACCGTTTGTCGCCAGCATGATCGCTGCTGCTCGGAGTATTGCCGAGCCACACCATGCCATGTCTTCTATCATCGGGGCAATTTTGCGTGATGATATCCTGGCCTTCGTGACGAGGGTGAGTGTGGGAAAAGTCCCGAAGACTGGGAGAATGCTTGTAATTTTCATGTCTCTGATTGTGGCCGAATTTCATTTCAAGAATCATCCGGATCCCCCGGAACCGACCGATGGATCTACTGACAAGGACAGGGATTTGCCTTGGGCTGCTCATCGTGACGAAATAATTTCGTTATTGACGAAGGCAAACAATGCCGTGTACTCACGTTTGGGATCTCTTGCCACTTTCGAAGGCATGGACAGCAAGGTATGTTATATTTTCTAGTGTAATGTCGAAGTATGCGTGACATAAAATTCCTTCCGTTGAATTTTATTAAATCTTTACGTTTAACGTAAGTTTACGTGCGAAATAATGTTTTTCGTGTTTTTTCTTGTCTTTTAGGCGTCTTCTCTGGTGACAGCTGCCGTCAGTATCGAAAACCTGTCACAGATGAATCCAGTTTGGCATCCATGGCTGTAATTGGATATTGAGAGCGCATCTGTGTACAAGAATGAATGTTTGTATAAATACGCTTTCGGGGTTTAATGTGTAGGAAGACAATTGAGAAAAAAAATGTGATCTGGATGCGGAAACCGCCGTGGTGAAATTGTATCTCGTATTGTTTTTCTTTTCTAATGGATTTTTTACGACTGTATTTCGATGTTCGAGATTTGTTCGCATTGTGAAGGACTTGTGAAGAAAATTTGAGTTCTGAATGTGACTTTCAGTCTAGAGCGCCTTTTCTTCGAAAATAGTTGCTTCACCTAGTCGTTAAACTAGGGTTTTTTTTTGTGTGTGGAGGGGAATGCTCTTCTGCGTGATTCTCGTTTAAATTTCAGTTTAATTTTTCTATTCCTTTTACAAATCCGTACCATGAATTCTTCAGGGATATGTTGTGATACGAGTTTATCCTCTACGAATGTCGCGTTCGTCGCTCTCCGCGGCGTCAGGCCATGGATCGAAGAAAGTATACATCGGCGACCTTCCGTATAAGGTCCAGAAAACCGTTTGCGAGTATGTTGATGCTGATAAAGATGCTTGGCGCGAACTAGGTGAGTTTTTTCTTTCTCCGTTAGAAAATTGAGAATCTTACTGAGAAATTCACCTTTTCAATATCCCAATAACACGATTGATTTCTACACCTTTGAGATTCATTCTCGATTTGATTGGGATAAGTGCTGTATGAGGATAAAAGGAAAGCTCATATCTGATGATCCATTAAATTTGTTCTCTATTTTTTTGCCATTTTTATCAGGAGAGCTTATGCAGTTCGAATCAAGGTACTTGGATGCCTTGAAAACACGAACTTCTGAAGGCGGAATTTCCAGGACTAAAGTTTTACTAGAAAAATGGAGTCAAGGGAATCACACGGCAGATGAATTATTTCGTCTTTTGAAGGAAATAGGAGAGACAAGAGCGATGCGAGTTCTTCTGCCTTACGGTTTGGTTCGATCTTTTCATGTACGGAACCAGATAGTCCATGGATATGTATTTTAAAATTTTAGTGAAGAAAGAATTACACAAGTATCTGGAATGCGAAGATTTTACTGTGGTTCTGAAACAACGCCAGAAATCGAAGCGGGAGGATGATGACGAAGAAATTCCTAGTTCAGCTATGTACTTACAGCGTCGGGATGTAAGTTTTTGCGAATGTTCTGAAAATGTTTCCTGACTTTCACCGAGTTTGTTCGACTGCAGAATAACACAGAAGGAGGTAATGCTCTTGCGAATGACGTTGATGCTAATCGGAACGATCTGAACGCCTCTTCTGAAAAGAAAACCGTAGAAAAACGTGTCAACGATCCCAAGTGAGTGGGGATGAACATCTGGCGTAATTTTCTCTCCTCATGATTTTGTTCTGCTTTGAATTTCACATCTAGTTATGTTTTTGCGAAGTTGTCTGACGTAACAGCGAGATTCAATTTTTCTTTTACAAATTGAAAAATAGGTTGCAGTGTTCTCAATACTTTTTTTTTTAGTATCAGAGCAGCTGATGCTCGCTTTACTCGCACTGACAACGGCTTGGGATCTGGCGTTGAACGAGGGACAATATCCTCGTTTCAGGAAACGATTGGCAAAGCATTAGATGGACTAATCAGAGTTGACGTCAAGGAAATACAAGAGGCTACTGATTATTTTTCAAACGAAAATATTGTCGGTCGTGGAGGCTTCGGTACAGTTTTTCGTGGAGTTTGGAAGCACACTCCAGTCGCCGTAAAACGTATTGACCCTGTAAGTAAATGAAGTCTGCAGAGGGGTTTCTCAAAAATCTTGCGAGTCTTTGGAAATATTTATTTTTAGGGAATTGGAATCTGTTGATGAACTTTCAGCAATTTTTTCCTTTATTTTTTAAAAAATCGATAATTTTTATTGATGGAATCTTTTAAGCAATGATTGGAGGAAACGCTCTTTATCACCTATGGTGCGCATCAGTTAGAACTTGGAAAAACTATTCATGCTCCATTCTGGTAACGTTCCTCCAATTTTGCCGGAAAGTTTCACGAGACTTGACGACATTATCAGAGTATTTCACGTGTCAATTTTAGCACCTGCATTCAGAGCCACCACTTGTCCTGGAGAAATTTCATCTTTTGACCATCTCCAGGTGCAGTAATGTCAATATTTTTGATCCAAAAATTTTAGAATTCACGTAGGAGTGGTCACATGTGTAGCTTTTTCCATCAGCAGCTTACTCTGATTTTCGTCGCCGACAGGCATTCAAAAAAGTCGAAGAAACTAACGTCCGCTTTTTTTCTTCGTTAACATTTTCATTTGTCTCGACGATTTATTGGCAATTCCCGAGATTTCTGAGAAAACCCCTTGAATGTGGTATTATTTCTGAAAACGGTGATTTGAAAAAATGATTGCGACACGCAGAGAAACCATGCTGGGGACGCGGCAGTTGCTGAAGCAACTTTGAAACAGAGCCTAATAGAATTGAAAACGTCGAGCCAATACAAGCATCCTAATATTCTGCAGTTGTACGCTTACGCGTTTGACAGTTCCTTGTATTTTGTATTTGAATTCATGCCGAACGGAAGTCTCGAAGATCGTCTTCTGTGCAAGGTACGCGTTTAAATTTCAAATTTTGACTTGCGTCCATGAATTTTTAATTTTTGCTCTGTACTCAGAGAGGAACTCCTCCATTAGATTATAGAACGAGGTTGAATATTGCTGTTGGAGTTGCCGCTGGGATTCAATATCTGCATACTGTGATTCCGAGCAAACCCTTGATCCATGGTGATATTAAAAGGTGACCCGAGTCGAATTGAGATTTTTTGCACTCATCAACAATTGTCCTTCGAAAAATGCAGCGCAAACATATTGTTGGACGCCGCGTTTCAGCCAAAATTGGGGGATTTCGGACTCGCGAGAGAAGCGCCGGATTTATCGGAATCAGATATGACGCATGTTCAAGTTTCGCGTGTTCGTGGAACGAAACCGTACTTGCCAGATGAATATTTGAAAGACAAGGACTTGTCGCCCAAAGTTGATACCTACAGCTTCGGAGTGGTGAGTATTATTCTGACCACCAATTTTTGCTTTTCTCTTCTCGGAAATGTCCAGCCCATTTAATCCTGATTTTTGCAATATGGAAAACTTCATGGCAAAGTTCATCTTGATGCTGGAAGCTAAAGATGACTGCCATATGTGTTCAGATATTTTAAAAAATGGGATACATTATTTTCCTAAGAACCCAGTAAGATTTTAATCATATTCCACGCTTGAAACACTGTAGGAATGCCAGTAATATTCACTTTCTGGGGTACTGTTTTTATCGTTAATGAGGAATTTCATAGAAATGAATAGTTGTGTTGAGGAAGAATAAATCGAATATCGAATCCACCCATTGGTCAATATATTAGGGCTGTCCCACTTTGGCGAGACCTTAGTTATTTCTGGAGTAGATATGACTGTATAAAACATTTTTTATGTACCTCATGTTGTAAGGTTCTGGTATTTTTTCGGATAAACAAAATAATTGACTTTATGATCAGTGAGAACATTTTGAGTCCGGAGGTCTCCACCTATGTCACAAGGTGTTAAGCATTTGTCAAGTCAGCTGAAAATTGAAATTTCTTAGTTGTTTTAACCATCATCTAACCTATAGGAAAAATATTGGCTGGAACAAAAAAATATCAATATTTAAGAGTTTAGACGGTCTGGAAATCTATTAGCACCCTGTGATGGCGGAGAACTCCGGCCCTACGTACAGTAGAACGTTTTCACTGATTTTTATGCCGTAAATGAAAAAAGGTGAAAAAATTTTTAATCCGAAGAAAATCGCTGAACCTTATGAAATTGTGGGCTACATAATTTTTGTAAGTGTATGCACTCATATGTACTGTCCGAGGGTCTTGACAGAAGGTCCCGCTATAATTCAAAAGATGTCAAAATTTCGAATCAGAAGTAGCACTTTTTTCGAAATTTCTCTCATCCAGTACAGGACGACATGTTCCACAATTTGTTTTTGATAATTTGTTTTAATGTGTTGCCACCCTAGCAGAGTTTTGCTCTCCACTCAAAAGAAGAGGCGCCCTTCCTGAAGATTTTGTTGTTGTAGCCCAGCTTTCCCCTCAGAATTCTTGAAGTCAACGTGGCATTCTTTCCAAGGGTTGCCTCCAGATCTTCCGAGGCAATTCCGCCATTTTGACATCTTTTGAATTATTGCATGAACTTTTGTCAAGACCCTGGTATGCACTGTAGAAATAATGGAGTAGGTATGAAATTACGAGACCAACAGTTGTAAGCCAGCTGTCCTGCTCCTCTCCACAAACTGCAGCTGTTTCGTTTTGATTGCACCATTTCTTGTCCCATGGATCACACTGAAGTAGTTTCTCTCCGAAAATGTATCTTCTTCCATTCTATAAAGTAACATGACTCAAACGACCAAAAAATCAAACCGAACCATCCTAACCCAACAAACCTGTTGGATTAGGCTGTCCCCGGGGGAAAAAAAGAATGGTGAAGAGGATTGTGGAATGGAAGAGGCTGTGAAATAATTTCGAATACCAGCTTCTGGGCCTGTGAAAGTCAATTCCTAAATAACGTGGGATCCCCAAAGGAAGTCTTCCTGTTGTGCGAGGGAGGTAAACTCCTGCGGGGGGATGTGGAGCAGGGAGGGCGCTTCAAATACTATACTGTACTGTAATCTCGAACCGGTTCTATGGCGCACGCTGATGAGTCAGAATAATGTCGCAGACGAGTGAGTCGGAACGATGGCAACTTGAGTCAGTTGAACTTCATAAGGCTTGAGATGTGTGTGGCGAGCAGTATTCCTCTCATCCTCTGTGTCTTGATCAGTTACGAAGTTCGGCAGTCAAGTGAAAGGACCCAGATTTCCTTCAATCCTCGAGTTTTGTTTACTACGATGACCGACGGTCAAGTGGTTTCACAACCAAATGTTTTCCTCAGGTTTTGTTGGAGTTGAGTACTGGAAGGCGAGCTTGGGATGACAGAAGACTTCTCGTGAGTATTGATAATAATGAACCATTTTCTATTTATCATCTTTATTTTAAAAATGTAAAGAAAAACTGCGTTGATTCTGGATATTGGTCACAGTTCAGAATATTGTAATTTCGTAGCGAGACTGGGTTGAACAGCGAATCGGAGAACAACGAGTCGTTCCTCCAGACGTGCTTGACAAAACTGTTCGCCCTGAAGGCAGGGATCGATTGTTCAAACTTCTGAAGCTTGGTTTGCAATGTGCTTCGCGGAAGAAAGTTGACAGACCATCTATGGTAGCTGTCTACGAAGAGCTTCGTGATTTCAGTGCAATGCAAGATCGAAGAACTAGGCGTGAGAATTTTAAATCTACTCAGGAAGATTTTGAAGCATCAAAGAACTAAGATCAAGAATTTCGAATTGCAGAAATTTCCTTGCCTGGTTCGTCTGAGCTGGATCGAAGAGGCCTTGTCAGTCCGCATGATCAGCAATTTTTTGCGGAGTTGCATAGACTCTCTGTTGTTCGGGTAATTATTTGTTGTCTTGAATCATCCGCTGTCATTGGAATTAAATTTCCTCTCGTGTTCATCCAGTTATTACGCGAGATGGTAATGATGATTTGACGCTGTTTGTATTTCATCAGAGCCCGCATCCAGTCAATTGGGGTCTTTCGCCAGCTGGATCACTTGGAGGAATGCCAACTGGCGGTTCAGCCAGTCCGTATGTCTTATCAACCGCGTCAATCAACTCTCCAGTTAATGCGTTTGTTGGACGACCGAATTTGGTGAGGAAGCATGAGTTAATCGTCCATTCATTAATACCTTCGGCCATATTGTATTTACCCTTGAATTAGTCGAATGAACACTATCTTCTTGCTTGGTGTTCAAGATATCTTCTCCGACTAGAAGCTCCACGGATCCGCGATTGCTCTCTCGACCTGGTGTCCCAAGTGGTTTTGTTGGTTCCGGTTTGGCGAGACCCATTCCGCGTTACCAAGGTGCCTTCGGCCTTCCAAACGTGAGAATTTTGGGTTACAAATATTTCCATGAATCGCGTGATCGTACCCAATTTTATGTTCATTTTACTTCGTGACCAACACAAAATTTGAGAAAAACCGGGATAATCTTGGGTAACGTATTTCTGTCGGTGATTCCCCGGCAGAAATCTGCTGAACCTGTTTTTTAGTTGTGGAAACAGCCCTCAAGATTTTCGTGCATGCAACGAAGCGTAAGAAACCAATATAAAATGTTGAAAATTTTTAAGTTGTGTCAAACTTTTTACGAGATTTTCATAATTTCGAAGCAGGTTCTTCTGGCTATCCTTTGTTGTTGCCGAAAATAGGTAACAGCACTAAGAATGAATCCTGAAAATATTTTCTCTGGAACTTCACGTGAGGTTGAAAGGAGAGGAAAAAAGCAGCAAACCTTGAAACATCATCATACATTTGATCAAACGTGGAATCGAGGAAATTAAAATACTTTCCTTATAAATCCGCAGCCGTCCGGATTTTAGTTCCGGGCCATTCTTATTCTGCATTTGTTTGAGAAGCGCCGGCTCGTTGTTGGTGCGGTTCTATATATTATTTGTTGATACGAGACAAAGTTGGTTCGACATGCGGATTACTAATTGTACGAGGCACGTTTTTTGTTTTTATGAAGAACCGCTGTACGGGTATTTTATTTTAGTTTCAAGCGCCTGGATTAACTCCTGGTGCGAGCCCAGTCAGCTGGCTGCATTCTCCAAATGCAAATGCCACCGCTTCCACGACTCTGTCAACGCAATCCGGCGTTGCCGCTGAACTGCAAAAACCTCTAATTCCCACGGTCGTTCCTGAAATTCTTTCGATGCCGGTTCCGGAAGTTAAACCGAGCCCGGAAGTATCGCCAGTGATTCCGGATTTCAGTGCCTTGAACATCGGTGGAGCAGCCGCAACTCCTGCCGCTCCGAAAGAAGAGGCAGCGTGTCCGGTATTTTCCGTTGTTCACAAGCTGAATCTGACCATGAACTGACCGCACCATCGAATATGCTCTGCTAAAGCTTGTCAACCTGTTTTCTGAATTTTTAGCTACGGTATTCCATGGGTGTGTCGGCTTTGAATTACTTATCAAGAAACATTTGTTTGTATGACTTGAATGGTGCCCGAGTGGCCCGTAGATGAGAGTCGCCTGCTTAATACTGTACCATTAATTTTCTCGCTCTTCAGGAAAACAATTTTGTATCTAAGGTATATAATACAGTATATATATATTGTTTAAATATATACTGTATATACATATATATGCAGTATATATATATATATATATATATAGTATATATGTATAATATATATTGTATTGTATTGTAAAGATATACAGTATTGTTGAAAGGACTCTATAGCAATAATCAGGGGACTACGAAATAAGTACATGAATATTGATGAAGGATCTCTCGGATCAAAAGAAAAAAAGAATGCGGCGAGGAAAACGCCGTGAAAAGAAATTGGCTGAAGATATTATATTCTATGAATCAGTTCATGGTACAATACTTTTGTATACAACGGGTCGATTGACGTAATTATCAATTGACTTGTGTGATGCTGTAATTTCTTACAGAAGCCGAATTTTTATCGGCCCATGCTCACTGTACTTCTTTCCGGGGACAAGTCAATGGAGACTCATGGTGCTGGTCCTACAAATGATAACGGGGATAGTAGCGGTAGCAGCAGTACCAGCAGCAGTGAATAAGGAATAGCACTGGAAAGGAGAAAGCATCCGCGACGTTATTCTATTGGCGGTCAAATAGTTTCATACCCTTTTTGCCGTTAAGATGCCCCACAGAATTCGCATTCCAGCGTGACTTCATGTACAATAATGTTAAATGTGATTCAGATTTTTTGGAGGTCTTCCAAAATACTCTCAGGAGCACATTATTTTAGAGCATGAACTTAATTGGACTGTGATGTAAATCTGTAGAACGTACACTTCGTGTATGTCTCATGGTCGCCAAATCTTTCCAGTGCCAGAATGAAACGGAAGTGAGAGCTTGTTGAGCGTCATTCTTTGAAGGAAGACTTCGGATTTTATTGCAACCGTATGAATAGTATTGAAGGTTACTGGATTGTTCTCGGTGCATTCCAGGTTGTCGGATGAGGGACTTGAAATACATGTACGCTGTATTTTTATGAAGGATCTGGAAGGTCAACTGAATCTCGTACGTGTTTGTCTTCAGCTTTGTATCCGAAAGATGCATGGTTGCAATTCACTGGCCAACTGATGTGTCTGTGGAATGTTAAGAATACCTTTATTTGATCAGAATGCTGGAGAAACGCACACGGAACTGCTGTTTATTACCGGTGAGAATGTCGATGATTTTGTACTGCATTCATTGATTCCATGCGATGGTAGTACTTCCAGAGATTCGGCGTCGCATTCGCGAGACAAGCCGGATCCGTGTATTGAATCACATCTAGCAGTTCGTAAGCTAGGAAATCGACGAAAGTCACCTTGAAAGATGAATCGTTTACTGTTGAATTCATGCGATTTCCATACATGGCGCGTGCATTTTTTTTTATTCGAATTCCATACCTCTTCACCGGCCATAAAGCTCCGGTCCCCCAAGAAGTCCGATGATCGTCTCAGGAAGCTAGGAAGATGTTTGCTGTACCAATCATACTTCTTCACTTCCGTCTGTAACGGGGATTTGTTTTCTGCATAATTTTGAGTTCGTTCCCGCGCGTGACTGATAAAATTGTTGTACTCGATAGCCTTTCTCGCTCTCGGAGGATTCGTCCCTAACTTAATCTGACCTGGGAGAGTATGTCCTGGGAACCCAGGAGAAAATGGACCCGCGACGATCAGTCCCCAGAAGCAGGCGGGGCAAGTACTCCACCCATGGTAGAAGGAGTGATGGTCAGTCTGGGCACAGATTGAAATGAGCTCGCTTTGACAAGATAAACCTTTATTTTCTAGTGATTTAGTTATTAATCAAAATAACGAAATAAAAACATGTGACGAGCCTGAGCCTCGCAGAAACGGCAAAAATGTAGTTCGACGCAAATCGCCAAAAAAGCAGAAAATAAGTTTCAACTAACCAATGTTATTTTGTTCATTTTTTTCAAACCAGGACACAACACCTGGAATGTGGGTCCTAAGTTTCCCTGTGCTGATACACAGGCCTTCTCTGCATTGCTTAGTTTCTCAATGGACAAGAAGAGATGAATCGACCTCTTCGATCGAACGGTCTGTTTCAAGTTATTATTTAATTACCTGGAAAATGTCAGGTTGGCTTGGTCAGTGCCTACTCATCTCCATCTTTCTGAGACTGACCATCACTCCCCCTTCATCGGTCGGGTTGCCCCAGGGACTGACTTTCGCAGGATCCTTTTCTACTTCGTCCCGGGACAGGTCCCATTTAGTTGGGAGACCAATTCTTGCAGAGCCTGCATTTCTATATGAAGCCATTTTGGAACCTTGACGGATGTATCCGAAAAAACTTGTGTACGCGAGGTTTCTTGAATTTTGAGTTCGTGTTCCTTTTAAATAACTGTTAATGCCGTAATTCCTAGGGCAAATTTTAAAAGGAACCATCGGGCCGAATCTACTGCGAATAAGAAGATAATGGGTGCACAAAATTCGTTCAGCTTTCTCCGAAAGTTTTTCAAAATTTTTTAAATAATTAAGAATAACTATCTCAAGTGGTTCAAGTAAAGTACTGTTGAGTGTATTGTGCGATTTCAATTAAAACGAGTATGGATGTTCACTTTGCTTAATATTTTGTCGACGACAATACAGTGATGAACCGGCTTATCAAATTGGTGCTTTCATTACAACATATTCGTCAGATCACAGTATATTTTAATTTCCTATTTGTGTTCAATTTGTTTTAAGAAACTAACTTCGGATTTGGATTCCTTACGTTTTGTATGGCCGGGAATGTTACGATTTTTTCCCTTTTCAATTTACCGAAGCAGAATAATATTCATCATGTCGAACGTATGAGCTCGATAAATGCATGGGGTTGAAATTTCAAGATTTGCATGATCCGCATCCATTATTCGACAATGATCGTTCCTTCTATTTCTCAAAAATTCCATACTGACCCAGCCAAGCAGTCTCGCGCTCTCGGGAACCCACTCGTACTGAAAAGAAGCATTCCCGAATTAATCTTCAGTCGACTTCGACAATATTTCAAGACCATTTTCTAAATTTACCCAAAGGCCGTATGTCGCGAAGTAGAAGGCAAATCGGAAATCGCACAATTCAAAATACGCCATTGTCGCTCTAGTCTTCTCCTCCAGCGTTGCTCCTAATAAACCATGTTTCCTCGCCAAATAGAACATGATCGCTCCTGATTGAGTGATTCGTTTGTCGCCATCTATGAAGTAAGGCAGCTGCAAGAATTTTGATATAGCACTTGAATAACAGGAGAAAAATGCAATAATGGTCCCATGTAATTCAAATTTTAGTAAAGGAATATATAGGCTTTATTTTTTAAACGAAAATTCATCGTTAACTGGAATATATTCGGGAAAAAAAAACCACGGAAGCATCATCTGGGGAAATTTCATGATTGCTGTTCTTGTTCATCTTTCGTATTTTCCGCTGATATTTTTCCATACACAGTAGGATATCGGTATAACGAATGATTGCAACAAAATTCTTTTCCGGCACCGTGCCCGAAACTCCGAATGCAACAATACAATGAGTTACTCTAAACAGTAATAAATTTTTCGTTGCAACGAAGCTATTTATCTGGTCCCAATGGCTTTGTTGAAAAGACATTTTAGTGTACTGTACATGATCTCTAGTATAGAAGCTGCTCTATTACCGTAAATTGGGTCCTACCGGCAATTATTTATTCCAGATTATGTTCCGCAGTCAAATGTTTCAATGGAGGTTTTATGTAGAAAAAAATGCTGCGCTTACATTTGGATAATCCAGTCCCATTGCGTCACGTTTTTGTAACCAGGTTCTCCGCTTCATTACCGAGAAAATCTCCTCTTTGTAATCCGCTCCAATGTGCTCTAACAAATACCGAATCGGCTGTGCATACTAAAAACATACGAATTCAAAATTGTAGCTTTTGGTTTTAAAAGAATTGAAGAATTCACTTACTCCCCTCACGTTCCAGTAACCGAGAATGTACTTCTGCTTTTCGTCTTGGCTGTTATTTTCTTCGGTCATTTTTACTACGAGAATTCACGTTATAAAATTTGAACGCATTTACCAATTTGGCGAGATGATTAGTTTCCCTCATAATATCGACATCTGGAAAACGCGATAAATGTTATGAAACAATGAAACGAGTTAAATTTAAATAATGAATTGTATGCTGACGCTTGGAAAGGAAGTTCGTATTTTTTTGCTTGGAATATGAGGAAGTCAATGTCTGGGAAATCTTGAAAACAAATTTCTTTCAAAAGATCGAATGTTGTCGCGTGTGGTGACTTAGAATGACTTGATTGTCCCGCTTTGTTCCAAAACGAGCTCTGTTCCCTGTCAGTGGCCATCTGATGAACCTAGACGAAAAAATAATTTAAATATTTTATTCAGATGGTTGTCGAAGTTATGCGTCAACATGTAATGCAAACGTATCACATATTGGGAGCTGCTGTCGAACAATTGACGACTTTCTAAAGTGATTATTGGAATACATACAGGGGAACATTTTTTATGATTTCCCACTGAGAAACGCGGCTAAACTTTGCAATTAATGAAATGCTGCATATTTATGTGCGCACAGATCACTCCGAATTGTTTTTTTTTAGTCCAACTTCTGCAGATTTGAAATTCGAGATCCACGGAATTGCTCCGAACTAATCCAGAACTGTCTTTTTTTTACTGTCTGCTTTTTATATTCTTCCATCCAAATTGAAGGAAATTCAATCTGAAAAGAATATATAACTTCAATTTTTGGTTTTCTGTAGTCTGAATAATAATTGCTATTCGGTGCGTATAACACAGTAATAAAACTATGCCATTAAAATTGCTCCAAGAACGTGTAAGCAGTACTTGTAGCATTCGCAATTTTTAAAGATCTGTTCGAAATAACTCTCCCCTTTTTAGCAACAATTATGCGGAAGTAGACTTTTGAATGAAACTATTCAACTTGAAATTGGATTCAAGTTCTAACCTTCCGCAGTTTTTTTATGGTACATTATAATTGCCTCTTGAAAATCGACCAACAATTTTCTTAGTTCTTTTCTTGATTTAGTCATTGTTGAAATGGATGCTAAACATGCATTTATACACTCTCATTTTGCCAAGAATTCACATACGAATATTGAGGCTTGCTTTATCTAGTATAATTGGTAGCAGTTTTTTTGTGGGTTTTGATCCGGGATCTCGCTTGAGTAACAGCAGAAGAAGTATATGTACAGTAAATCTATTCCGAATTCTTTTAAATCATCCGTGTTTTTATTTCCATATTTTAGTTTACGTGCGTAGATTTCTTACGTCCGTGCGGAATTGCAGTTCACAAATCATCAGAAGAGGAAGACAAATTATTTTCTGTGTTCAAGAAAACATTGAATTGCAAGCGGCGTTTTCTCATTGTTTTCATGGAAGAAACCAGATGCTTGTTTCGTGCATTGAGTCGTAAGTCAAATTTCCCCACTGTGCAACTATGTCGTCCACAAAAAAATGTTTCTTCACCTGTTCGAGTCTATGTAGGTTCGCACCGGGGGCAGACTTTCAATCCTTCTTCTGAACGCCTCCAGGCGCGGAAACGTCAGCAAGCACTCGGGCTCTGCGAACAAGCTCCACTCCAATAGTTCGTAGAGAAGGAAATCGGGATAGGTCACCTTCATCAACCAGCGTGGAAAAGAAAAAATTGAGAAAATGAAATGAGACGAAGAAAAGGGAAGGACCATACCTTATAATTAAGAAAGACTAATCAATCCCTGACTGACCGTGGAGTAAAAGTTTTCCGTGAGCAACTTCCTCGGTATACTCGAACGCGGGGAACAAGTGATTTTTCCTCGACCGTGATCAGGCCAATTTTAAATATTTTTAGGGATAGTTCACTTGTAAACACCTAAACGTTTGTTACTATACATATAATGTTAAGATTATTATATGTGTTGAAAGGTGCCGTAAAAAGTTCGGGGGCGGCCAATAATTGATATTATTTCAATGCACCAAAAAAAAATAGAATGAAGGATCCGTGGAAAACCCGAAAATCCTTCTTTGGGCAAACCACTCATGAGAGCTTTTCCCTGGCGATTTTTTTGTGCTGGATTAATTAATTGTATAATACTTGTATGACACAGCTCATACATTTATCTACCATTTGAATTTCCTTTTAATTTTACATACTGCCCATATTGGGCACAGTAGTCCCTCATTTATTTCCACTGGACTTCTTTTTTTAAAGTTGATTTCCTAAATCGTTACCCAATTGCGATGTATTGAGTTTGATTTTTGAATCACTCATAATCCAGGGCTAAGATGAGTTAGTTGATATTCAGTTAGGACCGTACTTGATTTGTTATCTGTGCTTCACCAGTTAAATTATTTTATCTGAAAATGATAGATAGATTAACTTCGAATCGATTTCTTAGCGAAAAATGGTCTGTCACATTCGAGGATTCTATTTTTTTCATGCATTATGTGAAGCGGAAATTTTTATTGTCTGGAATTCCAAGCGAGAGAAGTTATTGAAATGGATTGGATCATCAGAAAAATGTTCTTTTGAGTTTATCTAAAATTCAGATTCCAGACGAAAATGAGGAAGAAGATTCAACTCGAAATTTCAAACCGTAATAAGAACGTATTCCTTGTTAGAAAAAAAAACTGGCTGTCCTGCAAAATTGATGTGTGTTTTCTCCACTTGGCCAAAATATTTTTTTCAAGCCTCATCTTCCCCGCGGGGTCAACTTGTCGAAGCTTTGAAAAGCTAATTGCTTCTTATCCGTTATAGTTGCTGCTAGCCTAAGATGTTTATCTTTTTCAATTCCCCTTTGCTGTCACTCTGCACTTCATTTTGCTCGCTTTTTTTCGAAAATTTTTTTTCTGCGCTTCTTTTGAAAGTGTTCCTCGTTGGAAAGATTTGGCAGAAGATACAGGAAGATCGTTCGCCGTGCTCTCTCATTATCCGCCCTTTGCCGACAATGTGGGAAATATTGGCGTATTGAAGGCGTCGGGCCGAGTCCTTTTCGCAATTTGCTGTCATCGCATCGGCATTTGCTCGCCGAAAATTGATCCCAAATGGCCTCAAGATTTCTTTACGGAATGACATGCGTGACTTGGCAAGAAGGCTTCAAAGTACTGTACCGCACAAATTCAAATCGATTTATTTAAATTTTATCCGAATTTTCCGGGCCTTAGTTTTGTAGAAATTCCGAAGAATCAACCAGTTGATCAGTTTGATTAATATGAGTTTATATTTCATACTGTATTCTATTTTCAAAGAGCTTTTAAAAATAAGCTATAATATTCGCGAAGTTCAGGCGTAGATTAGAAATATTTTGATTTATACAGTAATATTTTATTCTNAATTGATCCCAAATGGCCTCAAGATTTCTTTACGGAATAACATGCGTGACTTGGCAAGAAGGCTTCAAAGTACTGTACCGCACAAATTCAAATCGATTTATTTAAATTTTATCCGAATTTTCCGGGCCTTAGTTTTGTAGAAATTCCGAAGAATCAACCAGTTGATCAGTTTGATTAATATGAGTTTATATTTCATACTGTATTCTATTTTCAAAGAGCTTTTAAAAATAAGCTATAATATTCGCGAAGTTCAGGCGTAGATTAGAAATATTTTGATTTATACAGTAATATTTTATTCTTCTAAGATTTTTACCTCGTAATCCCTTTTTTTAATCCATTTTTGATGCGGCTGATGATTTCTTGAGTCCAAAATGATTCTAGCCTTTCGGATTCTTTCTGCGGAAAATCATGTGGTTGACCCGGAAGACAAATCAATCTTTTAACTTTTTACTGGTGACTTTGGAATAGTTTGACTTATGTATGATATTCAAATAAGTCCAAATGATTCTTGTTCAATCAGTTTCGAATTATGTACCGTATAATTTTACAATTGGTTTTTATGCCGTGCCTGATTTGCATGCGCATTTAAATAGCATGTTTATACGATAAGAAGTTTCCGCGTTCTGTTTTTCTGTTTGTAGAAGTGGTTATTGCGGAGCTTATTGTCCCAGTTACGCGCGGCTTTAAATTACTCGCAAAATCCAGCCAACTTGCTTGCTGTCAAAGAGTAGCGGGGTTCCGATGAAGAAGTATTTCGGAACTTCTAATTTCGATCATTTGAAAGACGCCTTTTCTTCGTTTTAAAATTGTTTTATTAAATTAAGGAAAGTGTATTTCGTGAAGAAAAAGCCTAGAAATCCACTCCGCCTCAATTTTCTGCATCCACCCTGAAGGCACAATAAACCGTTTTTAAAGACCCTACCTAACAAAAACCTTCTGCCCTTCTTTTCTCTTCCCCCACCTCGCAAAATGTATAATAGACCCCGTAAAGGCAAAAAAAATTGCAGGACCTTTTCATTGCCACGTCAAACGTCTGTCAATGTGTCCGAAGTCTGAAATAATAATAGCCGCAATTACCGCCCGTCCCCTTTTTCGTGCGAAGTTGGGGTGAAAAAGCCCGTTCGGCAAATTTTATTTTTTACTGTATTTTTTGCCGAAGAATACGACCGAGGAACAATTTTTGTGTGTACCTGAGCCACAAATTGGGAAATGAGAAAACAATGTTTGCTCTGCTCCACGTGCTTGTTGTCAGACATTCGTCAAAACACGAGCATGCATTTGAAATATAGACAACTGCATATAATGATTCTTCCCCCCCAGGAGAAGGGCATCTCTCATTGGAAACCCTAGTGTTTATTAAGACTGAATTATTTTTTTCCCCCACTGAGAGAAGGGGTTCTTTTCCCTTCCTTTTTTCGGCAAGTTTTCCGGCTTGAGTGACAAGTTGGGGAATTGCTCTTCGCCAAAACTGGCGCATAATGAGACCCGAGGGGTTCGGTTTCTTTGGTCGGTGGTCTGAATAGTGAACGAATTCTCTTTCTTGCAGGGATTCCAAAAAAAAGGAAGAAATATTTTGTCTTGAATAAAGGTTTTTAGACTTTGGGAACCGAATATTTTTTTCAAGATTGACTTTTTGTTTTCGTATTTTTACCTCACGTCCAACGAGGAACAATCTGGCGTCGCTGAAAATCCGCGAGAACCGCATCAAATATCGCGGTAATGCTGTCGCCAAATATCGGTCGGTTGCCCCGTCTTCTCCCTAAGAATTCCAAAAAACATGCATCGATTTTTTATTTTATTTTTTACGCAGAACTCACCTGCTTAAATTTTCAAGATATCTTAATTTAAAACTGTTGTAGTTGAAAGGTTGCGGAAAGAAGCGCCATCAAAGACAAGAATTACTGCGCTTCAAACGCGTACTGGGAGGAAAATTGAGTTTGGACTCATTCGACGTATTGAAATCGCGTATCAAAAATGACTTTGCATTGTTCGATCACATTTTCTGTCTTTATTGCTGCCTTATCCCTGAAAAAATGTTTTGAATGGGGGTAAATCCAGCAATGGCTTAAATTTAAAATTTTACATGTGGACCTATTCAACGTTTGTTCCACGGTAAATCTCAATTGCTGCATTTTACTGAAATTCAAGACGCCAAAAATCGGCTTGAAAAATCAGGGTGTCTGTTAATCATAAACGATGACCTTCAACTTATGCAGTCGATGTCTTGAATTTGTAGGTTAAGTGATGTCAACTTCTCTCTGATGCGATCGTCTGAATGAAAATAAGCCTCATCATAAATATTGGCAATTTTAAAATCTAGAACATCAGAAATCTAGAATCCTGATTCTTTGGAATGGAAGTGGGAGGATATCGAGCTGGTAATAAAATTGGATAAAATCGACGGCTTCTCATTTTATAAAGGGTAGTTTGCGGCTTTGCGCTATTGGGTACAATTTTTATTTATTTTTCAAGTAAGAAAATACAGGTGAATTTTCTAATCAATCACGTCTTGAATTTTGAGAAAAATACAGTCAGCATAAAATGTGTAAAACCAATGCCACTTTTCACAACCGCAGTAACTCACGTAATGTACGTAGAAAAGAGCGAGACATTCGTTTCTCCAGTCTTCCAGCTCGAAGTAAGCCATTTCCGCTGCAAGTTGGGCTTCTTCAGTGCAACCAGACATTCCATGAACTTCAGCAATATATCTCATTATAGCCCCAGCATGAGTGACATTTATACTTCCATGAGTGAAATACGGCAACTACAGTATGAAGAAATCGAATATTCAGTATCAGCAGAAATCAGCTTTCTAAAACTTTTCCCCATGTTCCACTTCATCTGGAGTCTCTTCAAGACTAGCTTATTCCATCTCCCACCCTTAATTAAAGTACAATAATGGAATACCTGTAAAATGTACTGCGGACTAAAAAAAATTGATAAATACATTATTCATAAAATCAAGAACTCTTTCGCCCGAAGGCGAATAAGTTAACACGCATAGTCTTTTGTTGAAAACTCAGAAATTTGATCATACGTTTGTTTGCTCATGATTTATATACGAGAATGGCTCAATGAAAAATTAGAGGCATGTAACAGCGTTTCTGAATTTCGAAATCTTGAAAAAAGAATCATGCTTTATGATATAGCATCCCATTCGAACCCTTATAAATTTCGCAGAAACTCACATTTGGCAGCTCCAGCCCGAGAACTTGCTTGTCATAGAGCCAGTCAGATTGGTCGCAATCAGGTGGATCCCCTTCTCGATAAAATTTGTCTTCCCAATCCACCCCACAGTAAGCCAAAAGCAACCTTATTGGTTGAGCAAGCTTGAAAAAAAAAATGTTCCATTCAATAAATGCTTATTTGAAAACTACTGTATTCATAAGTACATATATCAGCTATGCGTCTGCCCGAACATGAACAAATTGAAGTCCCAGAATATCCTTGAATTGCATGTTCACTAAAACTTCGTCGAACCAAAATTTGATATAATTTTCACATCAGAGTCGCTGAAAAATTTCGAATGAGCGAGTTCATTACTCATTCAAAAACATGTTTTTGAAAATAAAGTATTGTACAGTACCTCAAATCTCACAGTCGCTTTATTTTTCAAGAAAAGTGAATTTATTTGAAGCCTCTCTCGAGGTATAATTTGCAGCAATTTACACCGTGAAAACTATTACATAACTTCAACCTAAGCATTGGATGCAACTACTGCGCATATAGTGTAAAAAGTCGATATTCCCGTTCAACTTACCCCTCGAATTTTCCAGTACCCCAGAATTGGTTTCTTCTCCCCGTCGTCAGCCTTTTCAATATCTTCAGTCATTTTTTGAGGAGTTTCCTTTACAGAAGGATTCTTTTAGAAACGAGACCACATTAACTGGAATCAAGCAGACGATTTCATAAATTAATTCAAAAATCGCTTTTATGAAATTATTCTCGATTTCTGATATTGTTCTGCATTCTCAGAAAGAAAATCAACGCGGGTGACAAACGATGCAAAATTGTGTGTGATGATTGATGAACATGTACATCTTCCGAAGAGGTAAAAGCTGCTAATTTTTCTGAACTACTATGAACATGAGTGAAGAAATAACCGAGTTATTATTTTTTTCAGGTTGAGTCCCGATACTCCCGACGAAAAGAAGTACCATTCTGAATTCCACAGAGCTCGGAAACAGTTGACGTGTATATTATGGTGAGTGGCAAAGAATTTGGGTTCACTCAAAGTCAAAATTTTTTTTCGCACTGAGCGGTTTAATTGTTTGAACGCATGGCACTAATTTTCTCAACACGTTCTTGAAGACACCCAACTGTCAAATAAGATCCAGGATCACTACACTAAACGACACTTCATTGAGGCACGAACTCGATGCCCGCTATATAGTTAAAAGATAGGAAATAAAACCCGCGTGGTTCGAGCCCGAACGACATCGTCGTCGTTTAACCAGACACCGCGAACTCGTCTCAGGTTTCCCCTTCTCGCAAGATTCGATTCTAGACACGAGCAAAACTGCTGGTGATGCTGTTGCTCTTCCAGCTGCTGTTGTAACCAGTCTATTGCGTCAGTCACTCGGCTCCCGAACCCAGAGAAGTAATAATAATAAGTCAGCTCCTTTTCTTGCTTCCTGCGGTATCCCGAGGCGAACTTCATCAGCCAGCCGCGCCCGGCAGCAGTTGCGATTCTCCAGATGCTGCCACGCGTTTATACGAATCCCGCATTCCCGTTTCAGTTACCTACCGAAAAAATAAAATAAAATAAGAAAAAGAGCATCGTATTGTGCTTTTATCTTTTGCTTCTTTAAATGAGGTGAAGTGCGAGAAAATCAGGTCAAGATAAACCCGAAAAATAACCTTGAACCTCGGTACTAATGAGGAAACCCCCCCCCCCCCAAATTAAGAAAAATAGCATCGTAGTTTGCTGGTATCTTTTGCCTCTTTGAATGAGTTCAAGTGCGAGAAAATTAGGACAAGATAAACCAGAAAAATAACCTTGAACCTCGGTACTAATGAGGAATGAAGTGTATGATTTTCGCGCGCTGTGAGATGAAAATTTGTCACTGCGCTGAATTTTCATCTCAAGCCTGATTTTTTGTTTGTTTTCAAACGTCTTCTGCGTGTGATTCCCCACGATGGACGTATTTCTTTGATCTATTTGAATGCAAGGATTGAAGCATTCTGAAAATGCCGATTTTGTCAAATTTTCCCTGTTGATGAAAATGGCTTTTTTAAATATATGATACCTCTTACCGTATTTGATGTACAGTATTTGAGAAGGCTTTATTTATGTTTTGCCCTGAAAACAGCGGGTTATTGAAAAAAGTTACTTGCTTTGAAGTTTCTTATTCATGACACCGCTGTTTTTTTGGGTGACACCGAGTTGGCAACATGGGCTTGAATTGCGATCACATTCGTATGGCGAGGAATTATTCACAAAAATTTCATGAATGATTTCGTCGTATGAAGTGACCGCTTACTAATGAAATATTCTTCGAAATTCCGAACAATTCGAAGTTTGAGTAAATGGATGTCAATAATTGACATCCTTTTTATTCAATGCTTCAGTGAACTACAGTTGATTCGACCGCAACGTGAATGTTGAAACTCGAATAATATTAAAAGAATATCGCAGAACAGTAATTTCTACTTGAATCTCAAAGTTAATTTTTATTTGACGCAAGTTTTGCCTGATGGAATTTGTGATGGATTAAAGTGGCAAATAAATGTAATTCATTTCTAGATGAATGAGCCCTGCTAACATTTTTATGGGCTAAAAAAATGCGTGAAATAACTTGAAATTATGTACATCCCTTACCTTCTTCGTCTACTGTTCTGACTGTCTTTCGGACCATTTTCCGAGATAAATCCCATTTCCATCAAACGAATTCAGGTTTAATATAGAAATAAAAAAAATGGGTTGGTCTTGGGCGTCGGTATTTATTGGCGCAACATATTTTTTTCTCACATTTAAACAGTCGTATCTACCAGAATGATCCCGCGCCAAGGTTGTTCTCATTGACTGCATAAATAGAAACACAGCTCACAATAAATATATAAATGTTTTACACACTGTTACGCAGGATGCTGCACTTGATGAATGCTAATTCCGGGTCGCCTCAAGACACATGCTTACGCACGCGCAGCTTCTTCCAAGGCATGACAAACGATTCAATCTTAGGGAGTACGTAATCCGTATGACGGGTGAAGGTCGAAGGCGTGTTTGTATTTGTTATTCAAGCGAGTCTTTTTAATTATGTATTTTTGTCTCTTCGAATCTTCGTCAATAAAGTCTTGGTGGTGAGTTGATCACAAAATAATTCGCATTGAAAGTAAAGTGAGGCCATTAAGAAGAACGGGTCGAAAGAATTGTGGCAAATTTCTGACGTCTCGAAAGGAATAAAAGATCACTTTTTATGAGAAAATTGTTTCCACCCAAAACTTGAATTTCCCGCCATTCGAAAAATTATATTCTAAATTCTTCACCCCCCCTTTTCCATGCAAGAAAATCATTATAAACATTTGACTCATCGTCCTTTTTGAAAAAATATATAAATATTCTGATGAGGAAAATTGGGTAATTATAAATCCATGATATTAAAAATCCAGAACTTGGAAACAATTGGGCCAAAGCGCGAGATTTTTCTTGGTCGGAAGCTTTCATATTTGAAGCACTCAAAGAATAAATTTTCGAATACAGTATCCGATGGGACGGATGCACTTTTGATTAAATTCAATAAAATCTTGGTGGTGAGGTGATCATTATAGATGCTCACAAAATAAACCCCATTGAAAAAAGGAAGCCCATGAAAAAGAACGGATTGAAAGAATGGTGAATAATTTTTTGACGTCTCAAAAATAATAAAAGATTCCTTTTTATGAGAAATATACCACGTTCCTAAACCAACGTTCATTTTTATTTTTAATACAGTATAATGGAATAATTATATTTAAAATGGTGCATACTCCTTTTCCATGCAAGAAAATCTTGAGAAATGATATTCTAATCGCGAGATTTTTCTTGATTGGAAGCTGTCACATTTGAAGCACTCAAAGAAGAAATTCTCGACTATCCGATGAGACGGGTGCATCCAAATAAATTAAAATTTGTAATGCCAAAATTGTGCGCAACTTTCATCAAATTTGCATTCGTTCTGCTCTTTCAAGTTCAATGTACATTCAAGAGAAACTGAAACTTGGCTCAATTCCTAGCATGAGCATGAAGCCTTTTCTGTTTTATTCACTTCTCTCTTTGATGCTCGAATGAACCTTCACTAAATTTTCCTCCATTCTTAATCGCTTCCACTCTCTGACCTGCTTAGCCACCGTTTGATGTACATCTTCAAGGTTCTCTTCCTGCTTTGATGTCAAATCTCAAATCGTCATGAACAGGACTAAAATGCCTTCTAAAATCCCCACCAGTGGAAAGACATCTGTCATGTACAGAAGCAAAGTTAACAGCAACACTAGGACAACTTCTCCTGCGCCATCAACGGTTAAAAGAGCAGTTTCAACAAGCTCAAAAATCCCAACCTTTTCCTCTGCGAGTTCGACACGCGCTTCTCAAGGGAATTTGCCAAAACGCTTGACTAAGATGAAAAATTTGCAAGAGAGTAAAAAGCTTGAGAAGCCTTTGGCAGTGAATTCGAAAAGTAAAACACCTCAACTTAAACAGCAACAAGAGCAAATGGGAAACAACGGACTGGCCAATACCAAGAGACAGTATAGTCAAGCTGGAACGTTCACAGTTGGACCTCGACTTTCCAAGAGCAGATCCAGAGAACTCGATGCTAAGAATTCCATAGAAGATTTTCCCAGCAGAATAAAATTGGATTTCGTCGAACAGCAAGCGCCAATTTCCGACGAAATCCAAGAGATTTTTTCTGCCAAAAAATCGGAACTACTGGCTACTTCCATGGATGCCTCTGCTGTTACTGCTGCTGCTGCTGCTGATTCTTCGTCAATGTCGTCATCATTTGCTAGTGTCAGTGAAAGAAACTGTTTGCTGGCACCAATTTTCAGCTCAAGTGTGACACCTTTCCGGGCTTTCAATAAGCCTATGCGATTAGATTTTCCAAATGATAATTTTATTTCTGCTAGGCAGAAACGGGAATCAAGCACGGATTTTGCTGCAGATGTGGGAGTAAGTTTTTACGTTTTTTTTTGGTTGAAACAGCTAAAATATTTATTACAACTTTGCAAAGAATATTGAGACACTCGAATATTTTCTTCTCAAGTATAGAATCTCGAATAATTCACGATTACGTTCGAAGTCTCATCTTTTTTTGAGTTCCCTGAGAGTGTATATTTTTTGCTTCTTTTCACAGATTAGTTTTGAAAGTGGGTTTATTTTTCGAGGCAAGATAATTTTTCTTGCAGCATTGCACATTTTTTATTTCATACCCTGTAAAGAGAGTGATGAAGGTATGTTGAAGAATTATCCATGACCGTAAGTGTGAAGTATTGTATTGACTCAAAGAATGGGAGAGATTAAAAAAAAAATAATTGTGAAATATAAGAGACCGTTGTTAATAAAAAAAAAAGTTATTTGTAAGAACCCCTTAACTCTTGCCAGAGATTGCATAATGTTTGCCCTACATTTGTGACAACATTCAAAGCATGATATATCAATTCATTCTAGGTACACAATTCTGAAGAATCGTTGTTCATTGGGTTTTTTCTATACTGTATTACCCTGAAAAGTGCTGTATTTAGTGTTGGGCCCTGAAATTTTTCAGGGAATTTCAGAAACTTCTCTGGAAGCTCAATGGTCAGTGGGAGAATCAGGGATAGGATCAACCCGTTCTGATGCATCAGAGCATCGCCAAAAAATGGCAAAAGCTGATCAATCTTCTTCTGATGAACACACGAGTTTGTTTCCCGATGCGGCAACAATAAAACTTGTGCAAAACTTGGCCAAAATACTCTGCGCGGATTATAAATCACACGAGCAACTCGCGGAAGAATTCCTTTGGAGAAGTTGCGACGAATTCCGGGGGATTTTCCATGAAAGACGAGACGAATTTACAAAGAACAAAACGTATTTGTGCACGTGCGCGAGAAGTTCTAAATGTTCCAGCAATTCCTGGGCGAGTCTTGCTAGTACTTTTCTGCAAGTTTTCCAGAGAAGTCATTCCTGGGGACAGGAAATGTGTCCTTCTTGCGTTTCGGATTTCAAAAAGCCCTTTTCCTTTCTTTAGTCACAATATTTTTGCATTTGTTGATACAAGATCAAACTCTCTTGCCTTTTTTTTGCCATGTATCGAAAGAAAAACGTTTTCAGGTGCAACTGCAGTTTTTGAAATTCATTTCGGAATCTCTTGTGCATTTTGTGAGCTACCTTATTTTTATAATTTTCCCATTAAAATGTTGTGCTTAAAATTTTTGCTGCCGAATTTCAAATGCTTGAACAATTCATTAGGAAAAAATGAAGTTCATTTGATTTTTATGTCCCTTGACCATTAGAATTTTGGCACCACTACAAACTAGAGACTCTCCAAGAAAATTCTGACCAAAGGCTGTTTATTATTAGTCATTCAGTCAGAAAAAGTTTTTCAGGATTTTCAATCAGCATTTTCTGTACGGAAATGTTTTGATTGAAAAAAATTGGTTAATTCAATTTGTGTAGTTATACATGCACATGGTTGCAAAAGTCTGTTCTAGAAATTTTGAACTTCAAAATGAAAAAAGATTGGGCTCAGCCGGGATTTGAACCCGGGACCTCCTGCACCCAAAGCAGGAATCATACCCCTAGACCACTGAGCCAACCATACTCCAACCTACCAATTTTCAAAATTTCATTTCCCAGCAAGTGAAAAAGATCTGCTGACAATGCAAAAAAATGTCAGTTTTATGAGGTGATGAAGAAACAGGAATAAACCACCGTCATGTCATTTAGATACGGTATCTAGCCCTTTTAATCTCAGCTGACACTTTATTGCCAATAAGGATTTCTGAAGAAAACTGCAAAAAAGAAAAATCTTGAGAAAAATACTACTGCATTGCATTCTAACGATTGTGTCAGGTTACACGAGGAGTTTTCAAATACAGTACAGTTATAAAAATTAGTTACAATTTTCAAATACAATATTTTCAGGAAATACTTTTTAATGAGCCACTGAAATGAAGTGCGCTTCAGTGTACACGGATCGAATTCTATTGAAACAATGGAAATGCACTGACATTGCAAAAAAAAACGGACATTGTTTATAATTTGTAATTGAAAAAGATAAACTTGGGGACCGACATACGCGATATGACGCATCAACAAGCTAATCTCGGTTAAAATGCCTGATACAAATTCTTAAAAAAAAAAGTCAGGTCATCCGACATCCGAGAAAAAAGCGGAAGATCGAGAAATTTGTTTTTCGGGGAAACATTTTTTGGGAAGGGAATTCTTCAGCGGCGTCAAGCATCAGCAACCGACGCTGGCAATGATACGTGTAATTTCGTTTGTCTTCTCCGCGGACCTTTGCTTACATTTCTCCGGCCACATTTTCTCCCCTGCAGTCGCATTCCTCCGCTGTGTTTTCCCAGGTCATCATCATCCGCACCTGAGACCCGCCAAGTTTGTTTTTCAGATGGATGGGATTGACTTGCTCCCAGGCAAAGCGGCCGAAAAGAAAAGTGCAAACCTGCTGCAGGGAGTCGGTTATCCTGAGCACAAAAGAACCAAAAAAGCCCAGGAAAACAACCCACGGGAACTCCGCAGTTCCTTTTCTTTCCTGTCTTTTATCTTCCTGAAATGATGAGATGCAGAAATTTTTGGCGGAATACAAAAAGGGTTCAAAGGCATTCTCCTGGTTGACGAATAAGTTCTGCTCAACACTTCAGCGCATGTTTGTTTGCTAGAATTGAAACGGCGTCTGAAGATGCTTACCTGCAATAAATCTTGGCTATACTGTAGTAGTTTTTCTTTTCCCTCGCGAAAAATAAAAATTTCAAGTGGAGTCTTTCGCCAGAAGAGAAAAATATATTTTAAAACACTTCCCCCGGCTATTAAACGTAGGATCCCCAAGAAGCCATGTTTCATTAAATCAACATTTACACAAGTGCACTTCACATTTTTGCAATTTTGAAATCCCAAGTAACCTTTTGATGAGAAAACTGATTTTCTCAATGTAAGAAATACAGCACTCGGACATTTTTTTATTGTTTTGATACCGTGTCTTTGCTAGTTAGGATTTCAACGTTTTTTGGCAAGGGAGTCATGATATTATTGCCACTGACAAACTGATCACAAAAATTCAACCTTCTTGGTCAAACATGTCTATTAGTCTGAGCTTATTTCTTCAGATTCCGACTCCAAAGTTCAGTACATATGACATTTATGCGAGGGATTGTTGGCTCAAACATGTCGTTTCTCCCTATTTTTGTCTGGAAAAAAATATTCTATTCCTGCCATGACAGCCATTGTAAATCCCGAAAACACAAAACCCAAACATTAAATACCTGGCAGTAATGGCCCATTTACGAGAGCCCAGGAAACCAGTCAGTGAACCTTGAGATCAGATTGACTAATTTTCAAAAACAATCAGGAAGCCATTATCTCATTGATTAAGCTTGAATTAGGGCGCAATCTCCCTCTTTTCTGCTAGACATTACTTAAATTACTGTTCCAAAAAGTTTTTGACAGATCTTTTCCATTGGAGCAGACCAATTAACTCAAAAAAATTGATGAGATCCATACAAAATGACAGGGATGAAAGACTTCCCCCAAATTGACTCCCATAATAAGTCAATTTGGAGACATTATGACCAGCACTCCTTTATTTGTCACCATGAATGAATTGGGTACAGAAGGAGTCTCACAATATCAACAGATAGTGCAATGCTCCATTGTGTCCCTGACTCACTCTCCCCTCTCAATAAATCCTGTCAGGTCAACTTGAAACAATGAATAGTTGCTCCAGAATTCTGAAATATTCAGGCCAATTAGTTTTTGATTTAAAAGGGGAAGGAAAATCTATATATCACTACCAATTGCTGCCCAAAATGCTGACCAAAAACTCCCCCAGCAAGGATGCCTTCAATGAGAGTGATTTTTTGCCAATTGAAAAGTTTTTATATTTTGTGTTGATTCCTCAAGTGCTTGTGGAATTTGGAACATGACTCTGCGAATCTTTCGGGATCAAGAGTCCCAGTTGGCCATGTACCAACCAATTGAGTTTACCTTTATTTTTTATCTTTGTATAAGTGACATCTATACTCTGCAGCTGCAGCATCAAGCTCCTCTTTTGAGTCATTTGATGGGGCACTTACATTCGAATGGCTTCCACTTCAATCTGACCAAGCGAAGTGCAGCTTGGCAGTCATTCACCAATTTCTATTCCTCACAACTTATGCCCAGAAAAATATTGAAAATGTATCCTCATATTGTTTCAATTTGGAATTCTGCGTTCAGCAGCATAGAGTTTCTGTTACATTCCAAGAGATGCAATTTTTTCTTCGCATTCATCCTATTTTGATACAGTACTTCGTCAAAAAGTATTGTTAATCTCATCCTCTATAAGTGGAAGAGTTGAGAATGCAGATGATGAAATAAATAGTCGACTCATTCGCAGACAGATGAAGGTTGAAATTTGGTGAAGAAAGTAGTTTTCTATGAATCAATATGCATTTGAAGAGCCTGATTATGTTGGCTGAAAGCATGTTGTAAATAATGTAAACTTTTTTCACGTGAGCCAAACATGTGAAGGACATTGAATAAAATTGATGGTTCCTCGATTTGCATTTTGGATTATGCAAGCTCCACCAGAAGCGGAAATTGTTCAAAGTGATGCAACCGGAATCATATCAATCCAGGAAAAAATTGAAAAGATGGCTGCTATCGTATTTACGAGAAACACCAGCATGCCTCATTTATTCACAACTCCTTTTATCCGCCAAAAAATGACTAGACAGCCCTTTTTTTTTTTAATAAATGGAAGTGGAGAACATGGCTGAACCTTACGTGTTTCGTCTTACGTCGTCAGTTCATTCAACATCAGCCTTTTAAGCCTGTTTTTAACCTACTCTTTAATGCAATTTATGCACGGCAGACATTCAGCATTTTTCTCATATCTTGATGGGCTCAAAAAATTACAATCAAAATTTTCCGAGTTTATATCAATGAGTGGCCGCAGCAACAGCTTCGTGGCCGGCTTCTTGGATTCCATTTGGGTACATTCCCTAAATTGAAAGAAAAAGCTCAATAAGATTAAGTCTAGAAGACTTTAACCGGGGAGATAAATTCGAAGATTTGTTTTTGCTACCAGTATTTTACCTTTGAACAGCTACAGAAAGCGAAAGTTAAACTCACTGCCCACTCCTTTTGCATGAGAAGAATGGTTGTGTTGTGCAGAATTGGACCAAACAGGGGGTTCATCTGGTGCATGTAAGTCGTCGCCCACCTGAAGAAATTCAATCCAAACAAAAATCATGTAATCCACGCTGGAACATTTTCGAAAACTAAATTGTCCAATTGATTACACCAATTCATGTGAGTGTTTTCTTCTATGATCCTGATTGAATGAAATATACTCACAGGAGTCCTATGCAGAAGCCGGAAATAACCAACGCTACTTGGTACGTTCTGCAATGATTTTTCGAGAACAATCGTTAATTAAATCAGAAATAACTGATCTGTTTACATTAACAGAAAATACACAACATGCCTCACCCTCGGTTTGGCCCTTTTCGCACGAGCAGTGGGAAAAGCAGCACGATTAGTCCGCAAATCACGGATATCGCGATGATAGGTTCAATACCAAAACCCATGTTCTTTTCAACACTTTTTCACCAACTGAAACGAGATGAATACTGTATATATATACTGTACTGTATATAGAAATTTGTCAAGTGAAAATGACACGAATATATATATTTATATATATATATCCCAATAGAATTAGCTGCCTCTCTGATCCAAACTGCTTCTGCATCTTTTTATTGTTTTTAACAGACTGTGATTCAATTTTTTTAACCCCATTTGATACAGACTTTCCATATTCGTGATGTGCTCTGTGTGCTTTCATTTATATATATATATATATATATACATCATGAATATGGAAAGTCTGTATCAAATGGGGTTAAAAGAATTGAATCACAGTCTGTTAAAAACAATAAAAAAGATGCAGAAGCAGCTTGGATCAGAGAGGCAGCTAATTCTATTGGGATATATATATATATATACATATATATATTCGTGTCATTTTCACGTGAAAAATTTCTCGATCGTGAAAGAAACGAGGGCAGTTTCGAAGGATTCAATTTACAAATTGAACAAACGCATGTTGAAATTCATATCTTGTTGAGGAAGGAACTTCGCGTACTTCCGAGTACTCAGCGCAGGAGTGGTTTTAATGAAGAATGTAATGCCAATTTGAGCATAATTTCCACGTGATAAAAAGGCAATTGAAACCATAAGCTGTAGTTCAAAAGCACGCCCTGTTATCTGAAGTAACCAAACACCCACAGAATAAAAAATTTTTTCCAACTGGAGCAGCAATTCTTGCCTTGCCCTGGGGGCTCCAAGCACAGACTGACTACACAAATTTAATGAATCCCGTTCCTTGAATCGATGGTTGGCTCGTGGGGTCCTCGCATCACCTGACATGCATCTTTTTTGCATCTTTGATCAGGTCCCCGCATCTCTTCTGATGTTTTTTTTGTTGTCTCGTTTCTTTTCTGTTCATCCTTGATGCCATCAATGCTTGTCCTCTACTATCTCTCTCTCTTCATCATTGTTATTCTATGATGCTGTGAAGGGCAACACAAACTCAGGAGGAGGAATGGAAGAATTCCACCATGTGACTTCCTGAAGAACCCACAACCTCTGTCTTCGCATCTCCTCCTTATCCTCTCTTCCTCTCTCTTTTTTTTTTCATGAGACTGTCTTGACTCTTGAAGTCTTGGGTGAGGGTAGAATATTCGCTTTGCTCTGTGTGCCGATTTTTTTTTGTGAAGGTCTCGGGAGGGCACTTTCCCAAGTTGAAGAATTGTCTCACTAAGTAAAGAAATTAGTCGGAGCAGAAAGTCAACTACTGTACTACAGGCGGACTCTCTCTTCAAAGAATTGCAGGGGACCAGAAACAAATTCGTTGTAGGGAGAAATTCGTTGTAGACAATCCCGGTAGGAATAAACTATTACGCAAGGCTAGAAAAAATATTTTGATGCTTATTTTGTATGGAAAAATGCCTCTTCATCGAAAATAAGTCAATACATGGTGGTTCATGCTATCCAATCCTAACAGAATATTTTAAATGTAGCTGAAACGCACAAAAATGCACAGTGCATAAAAAAAGTCTTAGAAAAAAATACAAATTCTTTTTTATTTTCGTGTGTCTCGTGTAGTGTTTATACCTTTCAAAAATAATTTACCCCAATCTTCTTAACTTAGTGTCAGACAATGTTTGTTATTTTTCTACCTTTTCGTCGAACTTAGTTTCTCCGTGCTAATTGTATTCGGAAACCAATGAAAGAATTATGTATGCAATCTAAACCCTGAGAATATGTTGTCAAAGAGTTGGAACAATGGCTTTAAAATTTCTCAGGAAGAGAACAGGGGATTTTTGGTTTTCATTCCAAAAAATTAGGAATTTATTCTTCCACCCCCCTTCCAGCAAAATTGGCGTTTGTGGGGCGCCAAAATCAGCCTCTCTCATGCAGTTGAATTCGCATATTTGGCCGACAAAATTAGCCGTTTGTGGTCAAAAAATGGGTTCTCTTATTATAGTGGCTCCTTTTTACCAACTAAATCTGCCGGCTTCCAAGAAAATCCACAGCCCTTTCTCTTTGTTCCTAGCGAGAGGTAGAAAACAAGAAGTTGTAGGGAATGAGAAGGAAAAGGAATCGTCGTAGACAAAATCATTCATCATTGTTGCTTAACGTCTTCCATATGAGAGGTATTTTTTTTGCCAATTAAAACTATTTGTATTTTGTGTTGATTCCTCAAGTGCTTGTGGAATTTGAAACATGATTCCGCACATCTTCTGAGGTTCATGAGTCCCAGCTGGCCATGTACCAGGCAATTGAGTTTACCTGTGATTTTGTCTTTGTAAAAGTGACATCTATACTCTGCAGCTGCAGCATCAAGCTCCTCTTTTGAGTCATTTGATGGGGCACCTACATTCGAATGGCTTCCACTTCTGACCAAGAGAAGTACAACTTGAGTCATTCACCAATTTCTATTCCACCTTATTTACACTGAGAAAAACAATTTGAAAATTTCTCCTAATGTATGAGCAATTCGGAATTCTGGGTAAAGAAACGTGGAAAACGAACCTAGATTTCATACAACAACAAGAAGAAAAAAAAAACTCGAAGAACACATGGGATGTG